TATATATGTGTGTGTGTGTGTGTGTGTGTGTGTGTGTATACACACACACACACACACACACACACACACACACACACACACACACACACACACACACACACAATCTATTCTACAATTTTTTCTCTCTTTCTCTCTTTTAATAGGAACCTCCCAGCATCTCAGACTGAAAAACCTAATATGTCTGGGAATTTAAATTGAATATAGTTGAATTATTCGACAACAAATGGGGCATAAAACAACATAAACGCATTTACAATAATCCATTGTCAAATTGTAAACAAAATTGCACTCGTAGAAGTTAGAGCATGTTAGACTATAGGTTTTTAGTTTTGAAGATAATTGACTGACTGAATATTTTACTGAATTAATTATAGACTAATTGTTGAGTCAATAGAACAAAAAAAAAACTTCAATCAGAGAAATATTTTTGCATATTTTCAGTAATAACTAACTTTATTGTTTACTGCAAAACATAGTTGCTTGCTACTTTGATCAAATTACATTTACAAACATTCTACTGTACTAGCATTACATTACACATAGCTTAAAATCATGCTAAATCATGAATACCAAAAATGTTGAAACTTGTTTAACTTTTATATAAGAATATAAAGCAGGCTAACCCAAAAACATATCTTGTCATAACATAACATAACATAACATAACATAACATAACATAACATAACATAACATAACATAACATAACAAAACATAACATAACATAACATAACATAACATAACATAACATAACATAACAACGTAACATAACATTATTTATTCAAAATCCTTTAACCCCATAATGACAAGCTGTAACCTTTAATACACATCAGTTTAAATGGAGCTAGTTTGCTCTTGGTATCATGACAGAAGCCCATAATAAAACGCTCTATGTCAGTCTGGCTTTTTAACAAATTTGGGTGTGTTGAAGAGGCTGAAGAAGCCCGTGTGATCATGTGATCCGAGCTTTCTGAGGGAGGCGGTGCATAGTAGCATTATTTAGTAAACTCTTGCCATACATTCCTTGCGTTTATCCCGGAGACAGTAAACAGCCTCAGTGTTCAGATGAAAACTAGGAGCTGTGAATGAACAATGCCTGGCTCTGGGCCCCGAACATGATGATGGCGAACTGTGAATAACACAACTGTTGGCCTGGACGGTCGTTTCTGTCCACCCGGAAAGCTCTTTGACCTTCAAATCTACCCCTATTTTTTTCCACTGTACATTTTTCTTTTGGGAAAAAAATGGATTTCATGAAGTAGCCTGCCATTTTTAAGTGGGTCCACCAAAATGCAATCTGATGTAATGTTTGAAATAATTATACTTCAAAGACATTTCCAGTGTCACATTGTTGGTTTGATGCAATACTGCAAAATATAAACACAATGTAAAAATACTGGGTTCCATACAATTCCTTTGTGTTGTCCAAACACAAAGCGATTAAGTTAACTTAATTGCTTTTACAAATTTAAGTAGATTGATTTTTAAGAAATTAAGTTAGGTTGTTGTTGTTGTTTTTTTTAAATAAGTAGTTTGGACAAGTAGTAAAAGTCATTTTTTTAAGTGTACTTCTTTACAAGTATAACTCCTAATTTGTCATCGAATGTAATTGCTGGGGTTATTCGAGTGCATTCAGAATAATGAATTACTGCCACCTAGTGGATGTATAAAACTAACACATACTTCCAAAAATATTCTTAAATGATAATACATTGGATAAGTCAATTTTTTTTATTCTTTATTTTAATTTTTATTAAAAAGAACTTCATACATACAGTACTGCCTGAATTCTTAGAAGAAAGAGATGGACCATATATCAAAATTCTCTTGGAAGTACTTGCAGTGAATTTAACTTACTACAAAAAGGAACTCAAAACCCTACCAAGCACCCCACCTATCTAACATTGATCAAAATATTTATGGAAGGTTCCTAAAAAATAAAATACAAGGCATACATGAATAACATTTACAATCATACATGGATCTGGCTGGGACTAAAATGTAAAATTGAAGCAAGGTGTACATGGACAATGAAACCAAAAGAGACATTACACAATAATTATAAGATAATTATAAAATAAATAATGAAATGAGATAAATAAATAGATAAGTCCATTTTTAAATAACACTGTCACAAGATCTTATACTTAAACAACAACATTTTGGGACCTTATCTTTGCTCCATACAGTGATGTGGAAAATGTAACTTTTTATTTATTTTATTTATCGATCGAAAATCAGATAAATAACTGCCGGTATTTTTCTGTTATTAAATGGATTTATTTCATGAATATGCTCTACCAAATGTTTGGTCATATTTTGACTGTTTTAAATAATGACAGCTAAAGTAATTTAAAGAATGACTGTTTTCAATTATGGTTTAAACACAGCATCTTTGGTTCACAAAAATATCAAACAAACATAACCCTATTGCTCTACTACAACTGATTTTGGTTTCATTGTAAATGAGAATGTGAAATATTTTATGTCATACTTCAAAAAATAAAGATGATTTAGTATTCCAAAATGTTTTATTTTGATTATGTTTTAAAATAAATTAGTCTTACACTTCATATTTTCAGATTTTTTCATAGTATGTATTAATTCTGGAACTTTTTCTGGTACCATTTGGTAGAGGTTAATATTTTAGAAATTATGGGATGTGTTGAAAAAAAAAATGCATTAAATGTGTTAACTATAGGAGTTTAGAAATGCAATCTATATATATATATATTTTATTGATGGAGCAGTTAAAGAGTTAAAAACATATGTTTTTATTTTCATGTTGACCACAGATTAACCATCATAGTCTAACCCTATAATTGGTATAATAAATCTGTTAAAACCTACATATGATAATTATCCTAAACATAAGGCTTCCCCACTTTTATTATAGTAAAAGCAGGATAATTTTGTAATTAACATTATTAGATTAAAGGCATTACTGAAAAAGACAAAACTATTAGGTTCACCCTAGAATGACATCAGTTATACTTCCAAAGTTGTAAGTCTGCTACTTATTAGACACTTCAAAACTTATTAGACACTTCAAAAACAATTATTAAAGTATCCTCAAAATAATAATTTCCCAATGGAGACGACTTGCTCTGCTTCATCTACAAACATACAGACCCTCTGTCAGAACATTAACTGTTTAAATAGACTGTAAAACCCAAAAAGTTAAGGTAACTCAAACTATTTGAGGAAACTGATTGTAACAATCCATTGAAGTTCAAAACCGGATCCTAATGAGTACTGTTAACTTTATCCATTTGAGTAAACGAAGCAATTTGAGCATAGTAAATCACAAATAAATAAAGAGAACTCAAACTATAACTGAGTACTGTAAAACCCAGTAAGATAAGGCAACTCAAACCGTTTGAGGAAACCGATTGCTACAAAGCATTTGAGGTAAAAACAAATGTATATGAGTGCTGTGAACTTATTCTATTTAAGTTGAAGTAATGAGGTATTAACTCATTTCATTTGATAAAGTTAACTGTTGGGGTTTACAGTTTATCACACACAAAGAGGTTTTCTTTTTACAGGCGAGGGACATAAAGTGTTCAGCGCAGCTCCTCAGAGATCTCCTTCAGCTAGAGCTGCCCACAGGCGTGTGCTATACAAGGAACAGATGTGATGCTCCGGGGGGGAACAGAATGACAGTAAAAGACACATTTGAGCTGTGCTTTTGAGTATATTGCACCGTATATGTGCACGCTTAAAGTCTGAGAATACTAGTTATTTGACTGTGTAGATGATTTATGGGAACAACTGTTGTGTGCATAGTGCATGAGTGTCTTTGTGTGAATGTGTGAATCTATATGCTTCCATGAAAAACCTTTTAACATCTGTGTAACTTTTGATTACACAACAGGTCCATTGTAGTTGGAAAAATTATATTTATTCATTGAGAAACTTTTCTTTCTTTGAAGAACTTTTCAGTATAGTTCTCTTTGAGAATGTTCTTCTACACTGTAAAACCCAACCGGCAACTTTATCAAATGAAATACGTGTAGTTAACTCAACATTTACTGAAAGTTAATTCTACTCATTTACAGTGAGTTTTAAACTCAGTTTTCAAGGTAATGAGTTAATTAAGTTACCTCATTTCTTCAACTTAATGGAGTTAGTTCACTGTACTCAGTACACAGTAACATAGATCAGTTTTTAACTCAAATGCTTTGTAGCAATCGGTTTTCTCAAACAGTTTGAGTTGCCTCCCCTTATTGGGTTTTACAGTACTCAAATTGCTTCATTTACTCAAATGGATTAAGTTCACAGTACTCAATATTCGTTTTTGAACTCAAAACTCAACTTTTCCTCAGATGGTTTGAGTTACTTTAACTTTTTTAGTTTTATGGCATTACTGTAAACTCCTTTTCTTTTGTCATTCCTAGAACTGTGAAATAATCTGATGTTGTCATTCAGAGTGACAGTAATATTCATGCAATTATGAAACAATTGACTTATTCTTATACGTGCTAATTAAAAATGTTAAAAATAAATTTTAAAATTCTTTGGAAAAAAGACATTAGATTGAATAGGAGTAATGTACTTGATCCATTTAAACCACAAGTCAGTAATATCTTTTTGGTTATGCACACTGTATGTAATTTTCTCCATAATGAATATATATTTCAAAACATCTTGCATTTGTGGTGGATTTGGTTTAAACCAGCATCTAGTAATGTTTTGTTTTTACTTATAGCAAGGATGACTATATAAATATATTTTTTTTCTGTCTAAGAAATACATTGACAGCATACCCAAAAAAGTACCTTAAAGCTGAAATCAGTTGGAGTTTTATTTTCATATCTTATGAAATGACATTTTCTGTTTTAGAGTAAGAAAAAAAAACAAATAATATTTCTCCAGAAAAATTCTCTTAAATAAGAAAAAAGGGAAGTAGCCCATTGTAATTTAAATATATTTAGCCAATTCTCATTTGAGATGATGATACCACATTCCCTTGTCCCATCTTTCTTAAATGTACAGGGATCAATCCCCTTGTAGAATCATCAGCAATTTATATAATTTTGTTATAGTTTTTAACATTAAAATGTACCTTTTTCAAAAAAGATGATTACTTCAAGTACTAACAAAAAACTATAATAGTGTCTTAAAGATTCTAAAATGATATTGCAATAAAGACCATAAAGTTACTGTAAATGCCAATGCTTGGCACAATGGTTGAAGTGACCCACACACAGACACACACATATTTGTTATTTGTGCAAGTTGTTATTTCTTATTCTTATAGTTTTTACTTCTTAAATTGATACATTTTTAACGTTTTTAGAATAATCTCTCCTTTTTAAAATTCATAAATTTATTTTCATTTCGGCTTAGTCCCTTTATTAATCAGGGGTCACCACAGTGGAATGAACCACCGACTCATCCAGCATATTTTTTAAACTTCAAGCCGCAACCTAACATTGGGAAACACCCATACACATACATTCACACACATACACTACGGCCAATTTAGCTTATTCAATTCACCTATATCCTCATGTCATGGGGGGAACCCGGAGCACCCGGAGGAACCCCACGCCAACAGGGGGGGAACATGCAAACTCCACACAGAAATGCCAACTGACCCAGCCATGGCTCAAACCAGCGACCTTCTTACTGTGAGGCGATCGTGCTACCCACTACACCACCCTGACACCCCTTTAAAATGTGTCATTATTTGAAGAAGTGTCGTCAGGAATTTCCATTGAAATTTTTCTTAGCCTTCATTTGTTTATTGTTGAGTTATTTCACTTTAAAGATGACAAAAAGGGCTTATTCTGTGCCTTAAAAGTGATATTACTGAACCTACACACAGGTGCCGGATGAAAATGCTCATTTAAGAAGAAAATTTTAGATGGGATAGAGATTTTTGCATCTAAACTCTTTATTTGTACTCATTTTATATTTCTGCATTTTCTTGTTTTATTTTTCCACACACTCCAAACATCTTTTGCTGTTTGTTCAAACTACTTGTTGAAAATGAGTTGAAACAACACAAATATATTTTGGGACAACATAATAGTTTTATGTTTAACCCACTTAAATTTGTAAAAACAATTAAGTTAACTCAATCGAGTCGTGCTGGGACAACATGGCAGTGTGGAAGTTGAACCCAGCATTTTTTTTCAGTGCATGTAGAAATTCATAGCCTGAACCAGTATGATTAGGATCGCCCTCTAGTGATACCCCAAAAGATCATAAACTTTCCAAGTCTAAAAGCGGTTTCCTCGCAATATCCAAGGGCAAACGACCAAATTCGCTTTTACCCCTAAATTACAGCTGCAGCAGTTAATAACAGGTTTGCTGCGGTCTTGCAGATGGCGCCTCCTCCCTCCAGCGCCCTGGCGAATGGCAGTAATCAGCGCTTTGGTATTTGCATTGACTGACGTCTGGTTTAGACGAGGGGCGGAGTCTGGAGCGATGACACGTCAGAAGGCAACAGACAGTCACGTCTCTCTTTATAGATGTGTAGCGACGCGGTTCTGCTAACAGCATCTCCTGTTTACTAGCGGAGACTGGAAGTATGAGGATTTCAATGCTAGTGTCTCTCATCCGGCCGAGCGGGCCTATTATTGTGGGCATCTCTCTGGGATTCACCCTGAGCCTCCTGAGCGTCACCTGGGTGGATGAATCCTGCGACTCTGACTGGATGGGAGCCGACGAGATGCTCATAGGGCAGCCTGGAAGCTTAAAAGGGGCCCGAAAACCCAGTTCCATATCCAGCGGTACCAACGACAACGGGAACGCCGAGGAGGATTTTGAGCCCCGAATAGTACCGTATAACAAGCCTGCCCAAGATGGTCCTCCCAAAAAAGTTTTCAGGTGGGTGTAGCTTCACTGGGGATTGTATTCAGAGAGCATCCCGACTGGTGACTGTTGGCTATATTTAAAGCAAGCAAAAATGGTTGAGATAAATTTTTAAGGGCTTTTATGAATGAAAAAGAATAGAGTTATATATTCTCTTAGCCTATGTAATTTAGCAACTTAAAGGGATAGTTCACCCAAAAATGACAATTCTGTCATCATTTACTCACCCTTTACTTGTTTGAAGCCTTTTTTCATCTTAAAAACACAAAACAATTATAAAGAATGCTGTAAACCTTTAAGCATTTGTTTCTTCCTATATGGAAGTCAATGGTTACAGATTTTCACATTTCTTCAAACTATTTTCTTTTGTGTTCTTCAGTAGAAAGAAACCCGTAAAGCTTTAAAAGCACGTGAAGGTGATGATGAGTAAATGATAAAAATTTAACTATGGCTTTAAGATAAAGTTTTAATGAAGAACATCAATTTAACATCCATAGAAACTTTTCATCGATGGCTCTTTAAATAATGAAAGTAATCGTCACACTGAAAAAAAAAGATCTTTGAAGAACTATTCTCTAAAAGGTTATTTGTGGAACCCAAATAGTTTCTTCTATGGCATTACAGTGACCTATGACCTTTATTTTTAAGATTGTGCAGTTCAGTCAGATAGAAACACCAACTTTCTAAAATATTAATAATAATAACAAAAGCATGTTGATCACACCTATTATTTTTGCTATTCTATACCTTTTTTCTACAACATTTACATATTTGTAATGGAGAAACTGGTGGACACTGGAATAAGACGCTGTCTATTTAAAGTGCAAATGCTCCTGATCTTGCCCCTCGGCCTCTTGAAGCTCATGCGGCCTAAGGTCATCAGGTCACCTAAAGCTGGTTGTCAGTCATGGATCAGAGGTTCAGTAATCTGCAATGTCAGCCTTAACAAGTCAACAACGTCCTTAAAGGGATAGTCCATGAAAAAATGATAAAGTAAAAAACAAAAAAATAAGTCAACTTTAGTAATTTTTTTTTATTGTAATTGAATTGGGGCCAATAGATAATCTAAAAGAACATCCTCAATAGCATACTGTAAACACACAGCCTACCATGGAAAAAGCTTTCTAATAATACTTTTATGAAAACTGCTAAATACTTTCAGAATAAAATGGGACAAATATTAAAATCTCTTTACTCCAAAAATGTGGCTATGTAGTTTATTATTAATTTGCTTCTGTTACTGGGTTGTACTTTCGCCTGATTTCCATTGTGTTGCTTCCAATTTAAAATGCAGAAAAATCTGATATTTTCCTCACAACACTGAGAATGGCTATGGTAATTTAAGAGACAGCAGAAGTTTACTATTCTAATGTGTTGAATAATATAATTGGAATATAATATTACATTTTACAACACTATACTGTATATTAATTATTAGTCTCTATTGTAAATGTATGACCTGAAGTTTCTACAAAGTTATCGTAAATTTATTAAAGTAACTAAACAGGTGGTTTTTATTTTAATATATTTTCCAGTGCATACATTAACAGAATATTTTTTACTAAATTTAAATATAAGTATATGTAGAATACATGAGATTAAAATCTGCCTCCATCCATCCATTTTTAGAACCACTTAGCCTATGTACTATAGGGTCGTGGGAATGTCGAATTGTATTTCAGGGTCTCAGGCTATAAAAATACCTGGGACGGATGGTCAGTCCATCACAGGCATACAACATCTGCAGACTGAGTGAAAAGAACAGATACAATGACATCTGCAGTTGGAGAAGTTGAAATACTCTAAAGTGGAAAAATCACTGAATCCTCTTTATCTGCTTTCAACTTTGTCAAATGTTTACTAAACTTTTTATCCTAATAGAATGACAAAAACAATCAAATTCATTCATTCAAAATTCATTAAATAATTTTTTTTTCGGCTTAGTCCTCTTATTAATCTGGGGTCACCACAGCGGAATGAACCGCCAACTTATCCAACAACTAATCCGAGGCTCGAACCAGCGACCTTCTTGCTGTGACACGACAGCACTACCCACTGCGCCACTGCAAATATTAAAATTTAAATATAAAATTGCACAATTTAAAGCAGCAATGTCTATATTTAATAAAAAAATGTTTAAATCAATTTAATTATTTTAATATTTGATATACATATTTTGGAAGGACGCTATTGTCATACTGTGTCCTAAGTCCAGTAGCCTCTCAACTTTGAAAGATTTAAGGCCTGTGGCTCTGACTTCTAGCCTTATGAAGATTTCTGAAAAAAAATATTAGGACAAAAATTATTTAAAAGCACACAACAAGTTCTTGACCCAATGCAGTTTGCATACAGGCCTAATAGAGGTGTGAAGGATGCCATAATTGCTCTGCTGCATTTACTTTTCAAGCATCTGGAGGGTAAAGGTGCTCATGCTCAGCATTTGTTTATAAATTTTTCTTCAGCTTTTAATACAGTTTATCATCATATTTGAATCAAGAGACTTTCAGATCACTTTTAATTAAGTAACAATCTCGTTGCCTAGACTTTTTAATAAATAGAACACAAAGAGTGCGAAGAAACGGTTCCCTGCCAGAAAGCCTGTGCTCCTCCAGGTTATTAGGTGGTCCAGAAGGTGATTTCAGCTTTGAATCCCTGTATAGTAGGCAGCTTTTACGGATTGCTCAGAAAATTAGTAGCTGTAGCTCTCATCATCTGTCTGAGCAGTTTATCCTGCTGCCTTCGGGTCAAAGGTTTCAGATGCTTTTTAGTTGGACAAAATGTTACAGGAATAGCTTTGTCCCATCATTTATTGTCACTCTGAATAAATTGTAATATTCTATAAGGAACTTTTGTATGTGTATATGTAGGTACTGTATGTATATGTGTGATTTAATTGTTTGTATCAAATGCAAAACTTTGCTGCAAAAGGAATCTACCTACGGGTACCAATAAAGTCAACTCAACTCTTAAATATTTTTGCTAACCATTGGTGTGGACATTGGGTATGCTAAAATTGACCATAGTGTATAAGTGTGTGTGTGAATAAGTGTGTACGGATGTTTTCAGGTAATGGGTTGCTGCTGAAAGGGCATTCGCTGCGTAAATCATATGCTGGATAAGTTGGCGGTTCATTTCACTGTGGCAACCCCAGATTAATAAAGGGACTAAGCTGAAAAGAAAATGAATGAATGAAAATAAAATAAAAACGAGCTGGCACGGTGGCTCAGTGGTCAGCACTGTCACCTCACAGCAAAAAGGTCGCTGGTTCAAGTCCCGGCTGGGCCAGTTGGCATTTTTGAGTGTGCATGTTCTCGCTGTGTTGGCGTGGGTTTCCTCCGGGTGCTCTGGTTTCCCCCACTGTCCGAAAACATGCACTATAGTTGAATTAGTTGAACTAAATTGGCTGTAGTGTATGTGTGTAAATTGGAAGAGCATCTGCTGCATAAAACATATGCTGGAGAGGTTGGCAGTTCTTCTGTGACGAACACTGATAAATAAAGGGACTAAGCCGAATTAAAAAGAATGAATGAAAAATAAATAAAAATGATCAAATAATCGAAAAAATATAAATATATAAATGGGAATTTCTATAAGGTAATTTCTTTTTATGTTTTAGCATAAATATTTGAGCTCTTTAATTTACAGTTCCTGTTGATTTTGTTTTTGTGTGCTATATGATCACATCTCTTTTTTTTATAAATATGGAATAATATTTTAATAAGTTAAAAGTGAATTCATACACCAGACACAATATTGCCTGGTATTTTCTGTCAGTTTTTCTTATTTTCTGTAATTTATTTGTCGTTTGTTTTTACATAATTGCTTTCTGTAAGGAACAAGGCAATTCTGTTGTTATTTACTGACCATCTTCCTCTCCACCAAAGTTCACTGAGACCAAAACATCTTGATTTTCTCCAATGCACTATTGATGAACACAACATTGTTCAAGACAGTGAGATTTGGGAGCAGTAGAGCATTCTCTTTTGGGAATATTTTGCTCTGAACATGTCATACTATGGAAAGAGCTGCATAAAAATCTTTGGTCTGTTATGGAAAAATGTCATAAGACAAGTTTATAAAGTCACATTGGTGAGTAAACGATGACACAACTGTTCCCCATTTAGGCCTTCTGTGTGTGGTATGTTATTAATGGTTTGGTTGGTTTATTTGACCATCTGACACTCAGCAAACCCAGCTGTACAGTACTTGCGACTTCCTAATATACAGTTGTGTTAAAAAAATAGAAGTACAACATCAGTAACCTCTTGACTCTCTGTTATGAGCAATAGAGATATTTGTGCATTACAAAGGATTTACTTGTGGATATTGTAGTGTAATAAAATAACAACAGACAGAACTTTAAAGTCATGTGTGCTCGAGTAAATTGGCTAATGCATCGAAAGAGATGTGTTCATTATAATATCACTGTTGAGTATATTAAGAGAATTCAATAATGACATAATAACCTGTTTGTTTTTCATAGTTTAGATATTTATTTTCATAGAATAGATCAGGGGTTTTCAAAGTGTGAGGCGCGCCTCCCCTGGGGGGCGCCAGAGCATGTCAGGGGAGGCGCGGTATAAAATATGATACAATAAAAATATAATTATTAAGTTTAATTATTATATGTATTTTTATTATATTTAAAAGTTTTAATTAAACAAAGCAAAAAAAAAAATAATAATACGTCAAATATAAGAAAACCTTTTTTACCCAGAAGGCCATAGCTGTGAATCCGCTTCTGTTTGGCAAGCCCGCCAACACGGGTATGCCTGCTAATACAATGGGTCGGTTTCTGAGACCCCCACCCCCACCCGCCCCCCCCCCCCCCCCAAGTTTTAAAATGATTTATTAATAACAGTAACGGCTGCTCCTCACGGAGGCTGCCGTCTAAACCAAAACAAAAAGTAAAATATGCCTGGGCCCGGTCCTCTTTTGGCTTCCTCTGCCCTCGTTCCTCCTTTTATGATCCAGAGCTCCTTCCGTGGGATCCGAGGCAGGTGCGCACCGCAGGTGAATCCACTTACGCGGTGGCCTCACTCCATTCCCACGGCTCTCGGCCATGCCCCCTCGCCACAAAAGCCTTCAAGTTCAGGGTTTAAACCCAAAAGACGACGATATGATGATCAGTATTTGAGTTTAGGATTTACATGGACAGGACCAGCTGATGAACCACGACCTTTATGTGTGGTTTGTCAAAATATATTGGATAATGACAGCATAAGACCTGCTAAACTTCGACTGTTTTGACTGGGATGGACAGTTCTTGGATCTGTTCTATTCATATTGAACCATCATCCTAGTTTTAAAAACGTTATATTAAAATATTAGTTATTTCTCTGTAAATAATTGCACTTTCATGCAAATGATGATAAAAGTGAGTTAACAGTCTGACATCTGTTGTGTCTTTATATATACTGTCTCTATATATACTGTATATATATATATATATATATATATATATATATATATATATATATATATATATATATATATATATATATATATATATATATATATGTGTGTGTGTGTGTGTGTGTGTGTGTGCGTGCGTGCGTGTGTGTGTGTGTGTGTGTGCGTGTGCGTGTTTGGGAGGAGGGGGGCGCCAATGGATAAGTTGTGTCAAAAGGAAGGCCCACTGTCTTAGACTTTGAAAAACCCTGGAATAGATTAATTATATCATTAAAGGCACAGTATGTGATGTTCACCACTAGAGGGCATGTGTTCACAACAAACATAGGCGTAGTTTGCTAACGCTGTCACTTAAAGAGCCCCTATTATACATGAAGAAAGGTCATGTTTTTGTTTTGGGCAAGGCTTAATTTGTGCCGGAAAACGCCGGATCCGAATCCAACACAACTAATATCTGATCCTGCACCTCCTGCATCTCCTTTCTCCTCACCCGCCGTCCTTCCTCGTCCGCTGTTTACGTTCACTTTCTTTCGCAACTCTCGGATCCGCTACCCCGATCTGATCTGGGACCTCGCAATTCACAAATCTGTAAACCAAGTGGCATGTGTCACGTTTTCAATGTGGCATTAGATGTGATATGAGTAATATGTTTACTGTAAAGTTCCTGTCAAGCTCTGCAAAGTCCCATATATCAATAGTCTTTTATGATCCTTCCTTTAACCAACGGCTGACAAATCCCCTGTTGTAAGCATGTAGACTGCTGAAGCACTTGTCAGAAAAATGACAGAAACACAGCACAAGGCTGGGGTTATAATGCTGAGGTATTTTTGCAAAAATAAACCTCAAGCACTAACTCTTCACAGTTTCATCTTTAAAAATAAGATATGACATGCAATATAAGTGATGGCATATATAAATATATATTTATTTATATTTATTGAACACAACTGTATTTCTGTATTTTTTTCTCTTCAGAGCCAAGTATGCCAGCACAGAGCTTGGAATCCGTGAACGTCTCTTTGTTGCAGTATTTACCTCTAAAACCACCCTGAACACGTTAGCTGTGGCCGTCAACCGAACCCTCAACCACCACCTGGATGGTCATCTCGTCTTCTTTACGGGCACTCGTAATCGTAAAATCCCTAATGGGATGTCTGTGGTCGCTCACGGGGATGATCGTCCGGTCCCAAACATGTTCCAGTCAGTCCGATACCTCCTCGATCATCACATCGCTGAGTTTGATTGGTTCTACTTTGTCCAGGATGACACTTACACCCAGCCGCAAAGACTGAAGCGCTTAGTGAGTCACCTGAGCATGGACCTCCAGCTTTACATGGGGCATTCAGGAGAGTTCATTGGAGCTGAAACCCAGGGGAGGTACTGCTACGGTGGCCCAGGATTTCTGCTGTCCCGTGCACTGCTTCTGAAGCTACAGCCCTTCTTGGAGCATTGCAGGACAGACATTATAAGTGTCAGACCTGATGAGTGGCTCGGTCGCTGTATCATTGATTACGCTGGTGTAAACTGTGTGGAGGAATATGAGGTAAGAGGTAATGATTAACTGAGATATTTGAGCAAGATTTATATCAGGATTCAGAAATGAAAATTCGGTCATCATTTGCTTAACCTCACGTCTTTTCATTTGTGTGCTACACAAAAGCAGGATATTTGAGAAATACAGAGAAAGGTGTAGTGGCATGGTTTCCGCTACATTCATACTTCCGTGGTGGGGCAACAGGCCAAAATTCACTCCGCCACGGCTACATTACAGCATCTCATTCAAAACATTCAGTCGTTGTTTTTGTTGTTTTTTTAATAGAGGGTTATAATCGCACAAAATCGTATTAAAAGGTAAATGAATTATCAGTGCAAACTTTATTGTAATCGTATAGTGCTGTGCGTAATTTGTTTAACCTTTTAAAGGTAACATGCTGACTGACTGACAGGGCTGAGCGATGCGTGAGGCTAGCAAGCATGCAAAGCTTTCAGTTATGATGAACATAGTTTCTATAATTTTACTTTATAGATAAAGGTCTATGGTTCTTCATAAAAAAATATATATATAATTTATATATATATATATATATATATATATATATATATATATATATACATATATATATATATATATATATATATATATATATACAGTTGAAGTCAGAATTATTAGCCACCCTTTGAATTTTTTTTTCTTTTTAAATATTTCCCAAATGATGTTTAACAGAGCAAGAAATTTTTCTGTACATCTAATACTATTTTTTCTTCTGGAGAAAGTCTTATTTATTTTATTTTGACAAGAATAAAAGGAGTTTAAATGTTTAAAGCCATTTTAAGGTCAATATTATTAGCCCTTTTAAGCTATATATATATTTTTATTTTTCGATTGTCTACAGAACAAACCATTATTATACAGTAACTTGCCTAATTACCCTAACCTGCCTAGATTACCTAATTGACCTAGTTAAGCCTTTAAATGTCACTTTAAGCTGTATAGAAGTGGATTGAAAAATATCTAGTAAAATATTATTTACTGATATTACCAGCCTAACTGCCAAATGTCAAAACAGTTAATTTTATTTGGTTGTAACTGTTGTTGTGTAAATTCAAATACCTTATAATAACTTTTATAAAACAATGGAAGTAAATGATGACAGAATTTACATTTTTGGTTTGCTATACTTTTCTAAATGAAGCCTTGAACACAAAAATGGTGTCCAGACCAAAACATTTCAAAATGCATTCTGTTTACACTGTTTTTTTCAGTTATGTTAACCTTTTTACTCATTTTTAGCAAAATACAATAAAAGCATGTGCCGTTCCAGTTTTTTTCGACAGCATCAGCTTCTTCCCTGTAATCGCTGAGGCAGTTTCATCTCTCGCATCATGAGATTCCAATTAGTCATGAACTAAAATAGCATCTATCCCAGGGCAAATGTTTCCTGTGAGAGCTGTGTGCTGAAATGAGCTGAAGGAGGGTGGAGAGTGGATTGAAGGCCTCAGAGCCTGAATGTACAGATCATCCTGGCAAACTCACAGGCCTGTGTTGATAAAGTACACTTTTTTTTTCTTGTTGCTGGTTTCCCTCAGTTGGCAATGTTTGTGCTGGTCACAAATGACTACATTTTTCGCCCGGGGTCTCCAGTTTCGGCAGGAAACCACATTTCCCAAGGGCCTGTGCTTTATTGAGAGGGTGCGCTGTTCTATTTTGAGGTACTCAATGCAACGGGGATGCAAAATAGTCAAATCAATAGTTCACAGTATATTTCAAATCCTGAGGCAGGTTCGTTGATTTACTCACACAAGCTGGTAGTCATTGGGAAGTGTTCTGTAAATGCTCCAAGCATGTATTTCATATAATCTGCACCAAAAGCAGTATAGAAGAGTGTATACATGTTGTATAATGTGAAATGTGGTTGGGAAGTGTGTGAAAGGTTCAAGAAACCTTTGAGTACTTTTTGTTTTGAGATTTTAGCAGATTTGTGTGTGTTGAGCGTCACTTAAGACAATGTTAGCACCTGTCAGCTGTAATTGTGGGGAAAATTGGATAATTTTGAGCTTTTGTCAGTTAAATTTATCTTCCATTTTTGGGGCGGAATCAGAATCAGTGACGTAGAGCAATATTGTTAGTGGAGTGATGACGCATCGGTTTCTCATTATTTTTCATAGCGTTTCTTATCCTATGAGAAAAGCATGCGCTTCCAAAGGCAAGACAGACCTGCAGTGCCAAGCTGTCAGACCCTATGTTAATGACTGGGTGAGACCGCGTCCACGGACCCATGGCAAAAGTATTTAGCCGTCGTATGTGGGTCGTATGTGTTTGTTTCTATGATCCATGGGGTTTGTTACATGTTTTTCTCTGCGATGCTGTCAGGGCTGATACAGCAAAGCTGTTTGTGTGCTGCATACATTTTTTGTCGGGAGAGCAGTACGAGAATTGGAGAATGGCGGAGTTTGTCTTTTATCAGTTCAGTTCGTTCAGATTTAGACACATCACCATGCTGATGTGTTCGCCAAAATCCTCCAAATTACCAGCAGGGCTAATGGTTGAAATAGGCAAGAGACCTGCTGCACGAAGTCTGCATTCAGACATGATTATAAACATGATTATATCTTATATATTATATTATGTATAACAAATGTAAAAGGGCATTAAATGACTGTTGATTTCTTTGCATTTTAACTTTGTAAACTATAAAATCATGAGTCTCCTCAGGTTTTGGTCTCATTTTGTGAGCCATCTGACAACAGTTGTTTGCTCCCCTCCTTCTCCCCTGCTCTGCTGACCACGCCCACTCCTGCCTCTGCTCGCAGAGCTGCACGCCTATTATAATGCTTTTTTTTAATTCTAAGGTAGACTTGAACTGAAAATGGGGGTTTTGAGGGCCCTTTACAAGTGCAGTATGCAAGTTTGGCACCCAGTGGTTTAACTAGGTATTGCAGGCCTGATTTAAAACATATTTATGACACCAACAGGAGCGAGCCTAACAATTGAGCCTTAAGGCTGAGTTGTGTTCTAAATTAAAACAACGGCACGCAATAGAAGAAACCTTTTCAATATTAAAAGGAGTTTTTATTCTAACTAACACCTAAAATATATATTTTAGAAATGGCTTCTATCTCTTGCAGCTGAACAACAGAAAACGGACAATGATCACCTCAAGTACAGTTTATTCAGTGTTAAATGTTAATAATGTGAGTTTGATTGCCATTTCACATGACATTTATTGCCATATACTGAAAACAGCAGCAGGTAGTTCACCTCAGATCTTGAAAATAAAATAAACCGTTTGATATTTACTGTGACCAACACAAACCGTCAAATATCAGTAATTAGGCATGTACATTTAATAATGTTAAGGAGGTTTAATATGTATTAATTAGATTGTAAACCTTACCATTTTGTTGGAGTGCAGTAAGCAAGTGCACTATTCTGTGCTTCTGAATGGCTGAATTTAATTACTGTCATGTTTCGTCTGGTGCAAACAGCCAAATAGCTTATTACTGCATCTCTCGTCACGTATCGTGTGATTACAAAATAACCATGTTCACCTAATTTTCCGTTCTTAATATTTATATTATTTTATAATTTATAACAACTTCATGTGGAACTCTCAGGGTTCGTACGGTCATGGAAAAGTCATGGAATTTTGACATGGCAGTTTTCAGGCCTGGAAAAGTTTTGGAAAAACAGAAAAACCCACAAGGTTTTGGAAAAGTAATGGAAATTACATTTACATTTACATTTAGCAGACGTTTTTTGTCCAAAGTGACTTTAAGCTGCGGTCACACCAGAGCTTGTGCTTGCAAAACTCTGTCGAACGGTGCTGCAAAAAGGGGTGGTATTAAACAATATGATTAGACGTTAATAAAAGTGAGCGATTGCTCCATATTTAATTTTTTTCTGTTGGTCTAACATTATCACATGATGTGATTCCACAGGTAAGAATTCGCCAGGCTTGAACTTTTGAATAAAGTGAAATACAAAACTCGTCACACGTTGCTTGCGTTTCTAGGCTTTATAATAGAAGTAGTTTCACCTACTATTACTAGTTTAACAAAACATTAACATCATCTAAAACTAGTTTGACAAATATATGTATAATGGAATGGAGGATAGTTGTTTTTACTACTTTCCTTGGCCAAAAACATGGTCTCACATTGGGTGGGTTAAATCTGGCAAGTAACACACATTTTCAAAGCAGAATATCTGACTTTAGCATTGTTTTTCAGATAAACAAGAATGTAAACTTTGCATGTTTCTTAATTATCTGCAAACATATTATGGTATTTTTATGCTTTAGATAAGTCAAAAACTTACATACAGCACCTTTAAAATGACATTGGTGTGTTAAGTGAAGTTTATTCGTAAACAGATTTCGTGGAACAAACAGGATCACGTGCTTATGATTTATCACGGCTGATCTCGCATTTACTAATCACAATCTCCCAATCATATGATTCCCCTTTGACTATATATAACCACAGTTTCAGTCCATAGTTATCTTCGTATGGAAGAAACCCCCCCCCCTTTTTTTTTTCTCCGCCCTTTTCCTCTTTTCCTCAGATCGTGCGGCACGGCGGCCCAGTGATTAGCACTGTTGCCCCATAGCAAGAACACTGCTCTGGTCCTCGCCTGGCTAGCAGGAGTTTCTGTGCGGAGTTTGTGTGTTCTTCCCATGTCCGCGTTGGTTTCCCCCGTATCCTCCCACCATCCAAAGATATACATAATTAACCAATCCAGGCACTATTTTACTCCCTTCCTCCTCAGGTATTTCCTTAGCTACCGCAGCCAGGGAATTTGAGATCTACCTAAGCTCAAGCTCCCCTCTCGCTCTATGATTGAGAGGGAGCCCTGGGCTTGAGGATCCCTTGAGCTCAGGGCTCTCTCCCCTTACAGCATGTCAAACAAGCTTATATTAAATCATCAGCTGAGTGTGAACTCTTGAAATTGAATTGCACAATGGTGATAGTGCCTTGTTTTTTACACTACCATAGTTAAACATTGGCTCAGTGAGTAAATATATAAATTAATTAATTAATAAAAAAAGGTTTCATTTATTTTACATTGCAAATATATTTCAAAATAATTAAATTATAGTATTACTATATTTATGCTGTATTTTGATCAAATGAATGCATTCACGTTGAGCACAAAATACTTAAAATAAAACATTACAAATAAAATCCTCCAACCATTTGAACTGAACAACATGTCTCACACACCTTTTACTCGTTGGAAGATGATTTATGTATACTGTATATACTGTACTTGCAGCAGTGTAGTTGTTTAAACCTTTTGGACAATGACGTAAAAGCACTGACCTGGATATAAAGCATTCTCTCAGACCTGAACATGCCGGCTGGATCCAACATGAAACAAGTGAATGTCCAGACACAGGGATTACTTTAATGGAATGATGTACTACTTCAGCCGCTGAGCTGCAAAGTAAATGGCTTCCTGTTCTCCGCAGGCCAGCTGCAGACCTGCTGTGATTTTCGCAGTTAATTAGCATGGTTACAACAAGACATTAAACAGCATTACAGCAAATTGCAAAGGTCTGCTGACTGCAGTTGGCCAGAGTTAACCTAGAGGTGCTATCTATGAAACTGTGAATCCTTTCTTGTTGTAATGTTAAAAACACAATGTAAATGTAGTGTCCAGTATAACGATATGATCTCATTTCAGTCTTTCTTTACACAGGGGGTGAATTATAATTATTTTAGAATGGAAAACAACATGGACTTTCTCAGAATGGAGAACGACAGATTCCAGAAAGCTCTCACTGTTCATCCTGTGAGCAGTGCAGATCTTATGTATCGACTGCACAAACATTTCACAGAAATAGAACTGCAGAGGACCTATGAGGAGATCGAAAAACTACAGGTAAGATTGTGCTGCATTTCACCAAAATGTAATTTATAAATCAATATTGTTAGTTTTATGCATGCATGACATTTTTGAATGCATACCAGGCCACATTTAGCATGTCAATTGAGCCTTAGAAGTACACCTTTCCACATTTACTGGATTTATACAACATCTCTTTTAGATATTGGAATAACCTAAAAAGTTGTATATATTCACAACTTTTCTTGGTATTCCAAGCTCTAAAAGTTGTTGTCAGGTAGAGATTGTGAGTAAATCCAGTTGAATTATAAGTCCTTCTGTGAATGCTGTTTAATAGTAAAAAAATTTTTCAACACATTTTTTAACATACATTTTAAAGAGCCCCTATTATACATAAAAACGTCATATTTTGGCTTTGGGGGTCTCCAACAACAGGCTGATATGCATGCAACACTTTTGTTGTCTTATAATATGCACTTATTTTTACCTAATTATCCCAATGACTCCCATATGATTTGTTCAATGATTCATTTTTTCGCAAACCCCTCCTTAGCGCGATGCTAATCTGCACTGATTGGTCAGATGACCCAGTCTGTTGTGATTGGTTGACTGCTTTTAGCGTGAGACAAAGAGATACGCCCACCACGGCTTATCAACATAGCTGAAGTTGTCAGAGTGCAGATTATACGTGTGAGCCCAATGCATGAGTGCATTAAAGCAATGTAGTTAAACTTAGCATATTGCTCTGTTTTTAATCATAAGTAAAAACAATGACACACATTCAGTATTAATCCACATGGTGACAACAGCTGAACTTTTTTGAAACTTGACCGCTGCACATGTGTAGGAACAGCTAACGGTGACCATAGCAACGACAAACGGCAGAGGATCACGAGCTCATAAACGCATTTGAATCTGTAGAACGAATTGGCCATGTTTTCATCCTGGTTTTAGACACAATATGTGAATATAAGGAGTATATCAGATACAGTACAAGCCGCGTGGAGTGATTAAAAGCAACAAAACATGATTAAATGTATATTTTACAAGCTAGAGAAAGCAAGGAGGCAACCATTTTGATCGCACTTACTTACACTTGTGAAATAGAGGAAGAAACTGATCCATGAACTGTGTACTGATAAAGTTCCTGTCAAACTCTGCAAGCATTTCAAGTAAAAGGCACAGTCACATTTTACTGTTGATGTCGATACAAACAGGTAAAAGATCTGGACGAACCGCAAATCATTTAAGACGAACCTTTTATTTAAAAAAAAATCAATGTTTTTAAACAAGGTGCACTTTCAGATTTAAACCTCAGCTCGATGTTTTCATTCAATTAGAGCTGGGTTACACACTGCATGCAACGTAATTTTCAAAAACTTACGATAGGGGCTCTTTAATGACTAATTTCTAATGACTAAGTTCTTTTGTGTTTGTCATGATCACAGTATTTTCTAGTATTTTGCAGATGCTAGTATTGAGCTTAAACTGCAAGCTTAACTAAGTTTATTTTGTTAACTAGGCAAATGAGATTTCTGAGGTTATTGGATAACAGTGTTTTTTTCTGTAGCCAATCAAAAAAATTATAATGTATTAAGGGGGATAATAATAGACCTTAAGAATTGTCTTACAAACGTAAAAACTGCTTTTTATGCATTTTTGCATTTTTAAATGTCACTTAAACAACATTTTAAAAACAATATAAAATTTCTCTGGAGGGCTAACAATTTAACTTTATTAATATTTATATATAAAAATAAGGTTTACTCCTATATAAATATACAGTTGAAGTTGGAATTAATAGCCCCCTTTGAATTCTTTTTCTTTTTTAAATATTTTCCAACTGATGTTTAACAGAGCAAGAAAATGTTCAAAATATGTCTGATAATATTTTTTTGCTGGAATAAAAGCAGGTCTTTATGGCAAAGATAAAATGAATCAGTTATTAGAAATGAGTTTTTAAAACTATTATGTTTAGAAATGTGATGAAAAAAATGTCATATATATATATATATATATATATATATATATATATATATATATATATATATATATATATATTATTATTATTATTATTATTATAATTTTTTTTTTTTTTTATTAATGTATGCAAGATTACTCTCTAAAATATCCCACTTCTTCATCCATAACAATATTCAAGGACCTCTCAACTGTCTCAGAGATTTACTGGATAAAGATGCATTTTCGTAAATTTACTTGCATTCTACATTTTTTAAATTAATTTAATTTAATTTAATTTTCAAGGATAGAAGTCACACTTTTAAAATTATTCTTCCTCATATATATATATATATATATATATATATATATATATAGGTTTTCTAATACTGTTCATTTATTTTATTCATTTTTTTTGGTTGCTGTAGCTCTCAGGCCCCATGATAGAGAACCCCTGCCTTAAAAAGTGCATATAACCATTATTCAAGATAGTATGTGTGCTCAACATATGCACTAGAAAGATTGACTGTATTTTGCTTAATCTCTCTAAAGTTGAGTGATGTACAAAATGTCTTTGTACCCACTACTTCTTTAACAGTGTAGAAATGCATTTTAAAAGTCTCATATCACTTTTGACAACTAACCAAGAATCTTACTTTTCACCCTTAGTCTGAGATAAAGAACGTCAGTGAAGTAGCAGCAGATGGAAACAAGAGTGCTCTATGGCCCATCGGCATCACACCTCCTTTTGAGCCCAAAAACCGATTCGAGGTGCTGCGTTGGGACTACTTTACAGAAGAGAACCTTTTCTCCTGTCTGGACGATGCCCCCAAATGCACAATCAATGGTGCTGATCGTGTGGACGTGATCGATGTCATCAAGGTTGCTGCTGAAGAGCTCAATAAAAAATACAACCCCTTTGTACAGCTGAGTGAACCACATCTGGTGAATGGTTACAGGCGCTTGGACCATACTCGAGGGATGGAGTACACCTTGGACCTGCAATTCCAGGCTACCACAGAGTCTGGCCACCAGAAATCAATCACACGTCGTGTACACCTCGTGCGACCCCTCAGCCAGGTAGAGATCATCCCTATGCCTTATGTCACTGAGGCCACGCGCATCAATATCCTTCTACCCATCAGCAGTTATGAATCTCATGCAGCTCTGCGTTTCCTAGATCACTGCTCCACAAACTTGTTTGAAACCAGTGAGAATGCAGTCCTAAACTTCTTGTTCACCTACGAACCTGCGGAGGCCCAAAAAGTGAGTACAAATGACGTCTTTAAAGAGGTCAAAGCGAAGATTACTGCCGTCGAGAGCAGATATCCCAACGTGAAGGTGTCTTGGATCAGCATAAAGACAGAAAGTCCTGGCGTCCTGCGGATCCTGGACATTGTTTCTAGGAAGCACCCAGTGGAAACACTCTTTCTTCTGGCCACAGTGGACACCGTGTTCAACTCTGAGTTCTTGAATCGCTGCCGTATGAATGCCATCAATGGCTGGCAGGTTTTCTTTCCCATTCATTTCCAAGAGTTTGACCCCATCGTGGCGTATCCCGACCAGACTCCCCCTTCCTCACCAGATCTCCTCAGGGAAGCTGGTCACTTTGACCGATACACATTTGAGGAGGCGTGTTTCTATAACTCAGACTACATGTCTGCGCGCACTCGGATGCCTGGGGATTTACAGGAGAACGAGGAGCTGCTGGAGAGCCTGGATCTTTATGACGTGTTTGTGCAGTACTCGGGACTGCATGTGTTTCGCGCTGTGGAGCCTGCTTTGCGTCAGGCTTACCGCAACCGGACTTGCGACCCTCGGCTGAGTGAGGATGTTTTCCATCGTTGCCTTCAGAGCACTCTGGAGAGCCATGGGTCACGTTCGCAGCTCGCCATGCTAATATTTGAACAAGAGCAAGGCAACAGCACCTGAGGAGCATTCAAGACAGCAACAGACTAGCTAACCGCTAGCAGTAATGCTTCTTGTTTTGACATCTCTCAAGCAGCAAACAATAGCAAACCTCTTTGATTATTACTGAATCCATAAAGAAATGTTCTGAGAGGAACTTTTGGAGACATTTAACAAGAAGACACTTGAGCACTTGACTCCTGATTTTTAATGCACTACAAAAATATTATACTTTTAAATATATATATATATTTTTAATTTTGTATTACAGTTATGATGTTTGTTTGTTATGATGACTTTCTTAATGTTGATTTCCTAATACAGTAAACGTAATTTCCTTACAGGCTGGTGGAGTTAAACCCAAAGTATACTTCGCATTTGACGCAAATGCTAACATACAGTATGCCATCAACCAAACTCATATCCTGGGTTTGAATTTGCCCTCGTCAATACTAAATAGGTGTGATAGCTAGTTTAGATTAAGTTATAGAACAGTGGTGGGCAAATTGTTTAGACCCGAGGGCCACATCACGTTTTGCAAACCAAGTGAAGGGCCACATGTCAAATCCTTCAAAAAATAACTTTTATTTATAGTTGGCAGTATGCATGGAACATGTAATATCGGACAGAAACATGTCACATTAACACAAAACAGATTTTTTAAATAGTTATTATTGAGTCAATGAATTTGCACTGATATTTATATTTACTTATCAATCATCATAAAACAATAAAATAATCCCTTATAAAATATAGTAATGATAATAATAATAAGGCGAGGCAGTGGCGCAGTAGGTAGTGCTGTCGCCTCACAACAAGAAGGTCGCTGGGTCGAACCTTGGCTCAGTTGACGTTTCTGTGTGGAGTTTGCATTTGGGTAGGCTAAATTTTCTGTAGTGTATGAGTGTGTGTTTGTGTGTGTGTGTGTGTGTGTGTGGATGTTCCCAGAGATGGGTTGTGGCTGGAAGGGCATCCGCTGCGTAAAAACTTGCTGGATAAGTTGGCGGTTCATTCCGCTGTGGTGACCCCAGATTAATAAAGGGACTAAGCCAACAAGAAAATAAATGAATAATAATAATAATGTAATGATTTTTACCGTGGAGAATAGAAAAGATATTGTCTGATAGAAAAAAATCTCATCTCAACACTTTAAAAATATTTCTTAAAGTATACTATTCAGTCAAAATTACAATAATTTAATTTGCACTGCTATTAGAATATACAGATCAGTCATCATAAAACTTGATAAAACCACAAATCTTTGATAAAAGAACTTTTTAAAGTAGACGTATGCATGGAAAATATATTCTATGACAAAAATTTACACATTTACCAACAATTACTATATAATTTGAGTAAAATTTACATCAATCTCATTTGAGCTTGTATTAATATGCTCATATCAATCATTTTTAAAACTATAAGATAAAACGGAAAAATCTTCATTCATTTTCTTGTCGGCTTAGTCCCTTTATTAATCCGGGGTCGCCACAGCGGAATGAACCGCCAACTTATCTAGCAAGTTTTTACGCAGCGGATACCCTTCCAGCTGCAACCCATCTCTGGAAAACATCAACACACACATTCACACACACTCATACACTATGGACAATTTAGCCTACCCAATTCACCTGTTCCACATGTCTTTGGACTGTGGGGGAAACCAGAGCACCCGGAGGAAACCCACGCAAAGGCAGGGAGAACATGCAAACTCCACACTACTACCTACTGCGTACAACTGGTACTACTGCCACTGCTTTGCCACGGAAAAATCTTAGTCTTTGTTATTCCAAGTCATGTTGTTATGAGTGTGTTAATGTGAACAACAATAAGCCTGAAAATAAAGTTATATTAATATCAACAGCAATACTCTCGCAAAATACCTACATGATACAGTTGTTGACTAACGACATTAAAAAAACGCACAGCGCTCCTTTTTTTCTTGTCAACAAAAGGGCAGTGCGGTGCACCCTGCGTTTCTGGAACGTAAATGCGCATTCTGTGTGATCGGCCCCTTGGGTTGTAATCTTTAAAAACAGTAATACTTTCTTGGCATAATAGACCCATATAGACCCCTTTCTGTCCTTATTGGTGAAGAAGTATTTTGTTGTCCAGTCTTCCTTAAACGCACGACACTCAGAGTCAACTCATTTTCAGTCCTTCAGTGCATTTTAATATCCGAGAGTGCATTCTAATTCTATTGGTTGCACTAACTGTACAGCGTGCAATACTGCAATCAAATGGCGTTCACTTGTATTGCATCATTAATATACTTATGCTAAAACCAAACCGTTACGCAGAAGCAGCATTTTAAAAACACCCTTGCGGGACGGATGAAAGTGTTCAGCGGGCCGCATATGACCCGCCGGCCGTAGTTCGCCCACCTCTGTTATAGAAGCATAAGAGCTAATATATGCAGAGCATGCCTCTGCAGGACCAGTATTGGACACTTCTGGCCAGCCAACCTTCTGATTCTTACCGATGGGGTTACGGGTGAGCATTATGAATTGAAGCAACACAACTAACACCATACATCAAACAAATTTCATACATTCTAAACCTATTCATTACATATAGAACATACCTTTTATACACATTTATACAGTATGTGATTTCAGACTGTGATTTAAAGGATAGTTAATTTAACTACATGAATGAACAGATTTCTGTTTGTCTTGATCAGATGTATCCATTCTATTCCTTAACATGACATGTCTTCATTTGCATGGGTGTATTTGTAGGAGTAGACAATGATATATTATTTGAGTCAATATCGATTTTTAGTTTGTGCCAAAAAAAAAAAGTAAGTAAAGATCAAGTTCTGGGAACACATTTGAAGAGTTCACACTTAGCTGGTGATTGATCATAAAGCTTGTTCTGCATGCTGTCCCGGGAGAGAGCCCTGAGCTCATAAGTTTCTCGAGCCTGGGGCTCCCTCTTATTTGCAAGGTGAGAGGGGAGTTTGAGCTCAGGTAGATCTCAAGAACTCTCCTGCTGTAGTAGCTAATGAACAGATTGTGATTGCTCTTAAGTGAAAACTACTTACTAGGACCATGTCTATGCTGCCGATTTGGATTAGTCAATTAACTTAAGTTCCATGTTTTTGGACGGTGGGAGGAAACCGGGGAACCCGGGGGCAACTCATGTGAGCACGGGGAGAACGTGTAAACTCCACATAGAAACGTCGGCTGGCTTGGTAAGGACTAGAGCCAGTGACGTTCTTGCTGTGAGGCAATAGTGCTAACCACTGGGCCACTGTGCCACCTATCTAGAAAAGGAGGAGTAGGGGTGGAAGGGGGGATTCTTTAAAATGAAATGGCTGTTATATGGAACTTAAGGTATTTATAGTGGCTTAGGAATCGTCTGATTGGTGAATCAGATTGAATAATATGGGACCAGCCGCAAGCAATCAAAAGCACGTGATCCTCTCGAAATGAGTTTATAAATAAATTTCAATTTGTGAATTTCCTACTGTAAATATATAAAAATGTAACTTTTAAGTAGTATTTTGCATTGCTAAGAACTTAAAGTGTACAGATTTCAAAGTGATTTTCTCTGACATGTTTACCAGAAACGTACATGATCTATTCTTGAAATAAAAACATAAATACAGCGGATAAAAAGTATTTCTACCCAAAACATTTCTAAAATGGACTGATGGTTGATTTCTGTAAAGGAGTAAGTCATTCATTTGGCTCTCAGATTTCTTTGCTTACTAAAAACACTTTACACTGTTCAAACCCTGTCATTGTCCTTATTCTTGTGCCCAATTAAACCTACAGCTTTAATAGTTTTGTTAGGCTAAAAACTGTTATTTAGAAAAAATACTTCAGAAATAGCAAGTTTAAGTTGTTTTACATTCACATAAAACAAACAAACAAACATGAAATTATAAATAAATTTTACAAATAAATAGTACTGTATTTACAATTATCCCCATGTTGCCGTCGAATTGTCACATTTGCATTAATTTTTAAGGCTTTGACTTAGTGTAAAAGACATAATTTGTGACATCAAGTGGCATCATTTTATGGAGAAGCTGGCAGTGATCAAGGATGCGTTCAATCATTGAATTGTATGATTTCTTAGGTCAGACCCTTTCACATTTTTTATAAGTGAAAATGTACGTTTCTGGTATAATGTCCCATATATCAATTTATTTAAGCTTCCAATTTCAGATTTTCAAATAATTGTATCTTAGCTAAATGATTTTGTGTAGAAAAAGATGGGTATAGTTGCAACTCAAATTTAAGGGAAATATAGAGAAATCCACTTGTTTTATTTAAATAATATTACCCAATGTTTGGATTTATCTATATTTGATGCAAATTTAATCTAAAATATATGCATACAAATAATAAATATACATTAAATATATAAATTAATGTCCACTTTGCAAAACAATAATAAAAAGGTCCTGACAACATATCTTTTTTACCTAACTTTTAGTATTTTAATCAGGTTTAAACTTAATGTTTTAGTTTAAACAAAATTTAACTTGATGTTCAAGTCAGATTAATTGATTTAAGTTGAAATGACTTGTAAATTTAAATTGGTTCAACTTAAAAATTTAATTTAATAAATTTTTTGTGTGCGCTGCATTTAACTATATGAGGATTGTTTTGCTGTTTTGTTTACTGTTGTGCTAATTTGTGAGTCACTTTTGATAAAAGAATCTTCTAGATGATTTAACGTAAATATTGTATAAATATATCCTTGAAGTATGAACTTTTCTACACTGAAAAGGTAAGTGGTTTCAAACAATTTCTATGGGCTGAATTTAGGTTGAACATTATTAAATTTAATTAGTTTGTTTAAATTCAACCTAGGGGCGACGCTGTGGTGCAGAAGGTAGTGCTGTTGCCTCATAGCAAGAAGATCGCTGGTTCGAGCCTCAGCTGGGTCAGTTGGCATTTCTGTGTGGAGTTTGCATATTCTTCCTGCGCGCCAGTGGGTTTCCTCAGGGTGCTCCGGTTTCCCAGACAGTCTAAAGACATGCAGTACAGGTGAATTGGGTAAGCTAAATTGTCTGTAGTGTATGGGTGTGTGTGGATGTTTCCCAGAGATGGGTTGTGGCTGGAAGGGCATCCTCTGCGTAGAAACGTGCTGGATAAGTTGGTGGTTTATTCTGCTGTGGCGACCCCAGATTAATAAAGGAACTAAGCCGAAAAGAAAATGAATGAATAAATAAATTCAACCCATATAAATAGCTTGCAACCACTTACCTTAAAAAAGGTAGTAAATCCAATGAATCATATTTTTTTCAATGTACTTCAGTGATTGTCTGACAGATGACAATGATTGGTTTATGAAGCATCGCAACCACAAAGGCCATACTTAATTGCAGATGTATACTTTGGGCTACTTTCAGAGCTGGGAAAGAGAATGTGAATATAATTTTTCTATAGTGAAAGATTTGTTTTGCACATTTTATAGTGAATGACTGCAGCTGAGGGGAAAGAAGATGAAGTAGTCTATGTTTACAACGATAATCCATACAGTTTAGAAAGGACGAATGTACAAAACATTTTCCACAATGTATTTTGAATTATTCCCTTTTTTGCTGTTGTATCCACCCATGAAATGCATTCCTGTATTCCACCCACACTTCCTTTTCCAGTTAGCCTTGGCTGTCTGGAGCAGCCAAACTATATTGTCCATGCAAAAATCTGTGCCTTGACTATGCAACCAACATAGAAACGCTTTTTAAGTTTTGTTTTGCACATGACCATATGTTGAATAAGGATTTTTCGGTCCACATTTCCTTTATCAGAAAGATATTTGTGTGCAGATACCAGGTGGAATTGACATACTGTAATGAGATAACAGAGTTAGTGCAGATGTTTACTGCGTGCTGCTGACAGAAATAGTCACATATGAAGAGCTTAAGGGCCTCTAATTCTATTGGCTGGAAGTGTGTCAATGCAGGTGAGGCAAAATTAAGATCACTGTTGTTAAAATTATTAGATGATATGCATGAAGTCCTGTTAAAAACAACTTTTATTCACCAAATACTTCCACAGCAATTTGCAGAACTGCACGATGTCCACCATAATGGAGCCGCCAGACGTAAGCTGGTGTTACAAAGTTCATACAAAGTGATTTTGATGATGAAACATGAAAGGCGTTGATGCTTTAAGCCCACTAGAGGGCGGTAAAAGCAGATTTAATTCCCCTTCAAATGTCGTCTTGCTCGGTGGAATTTCTTCATATTCCATCTGAAGAATCTGCTTTTCTTCGAAACATTATTTAAAGGGATAGTTCACCCAAATAATACAATCCTGGTATTGTTTACTCACCCTTCACTTGATCAAAATTCGTTTGAGTTTCTTTTTTTATGTAACACAATAGGAGATATTTTGAAGAATGCCAGGCCCGTAGACAGCCTGGTGAAAGGGGTGGTTCTTTTTTTCCTTTTTACAGTTATTTGCCTCATTATACATTAAATTATGAGATTTAAATACAGCATTTACCAAAAATATTTTCTATAGATTTAATAAATAAATATGAATACTTTATTTTTAAAATACAAATTTATCACATCATATATCATAAAAAAAATTGTTATCTGTTAATTTTTTTTATTAAAAAGTGTAATCTATTGACATTTATTAGACATTCAACTTTCCTAAGTCAGAATTTGGCCACTTGAATACATACCAACAATAATAATAATAATAATAATAATAATAATAATGTTCAGGATTTTTCTAGCCTCTTTTGTACTAAAAAGTACATTTGAAAATTCCTGGATAACAATAGCTAAATAATTATTCAAATAACTTTTAATGTGGGCTTCTTTTGGTGCTTCACACCTTTTTATTGGTCCTTTTTTGTTTCAAGAGAAACAAACTCCAGAACTAATTTCATATATTTGATTATGAAATAATAAAATGTTTAGTGCTTTTTACATAGCTTATTTTAGGTTTGAGCATTATAAACTCTAGATGATGGATAGTAAAGCCTAATGTGTCTTCTTTCTGAAGATACATGAACTGTGAATGTAGACCAAATTATTCAGCAACTGTTACTGTTTTAGTTTGGGATGGTCATTTTTGAGAAAATGCCTCTGACGGTGAGGGAAAAAGGACACTGATATAGTCTCGGACAATTTAACAGAAATCTTATTTTGCATGATATCTTCATCAAATTTAAAACATAAACTCATGAGACACTTGTTTTTTTAAAGTATAGATTTTTCTAGGTTATTACATTAATGTTTTCCTGTTTTTGTTTATAGAGAACAAATATTGAACACTGTGCAATTTTTCTTTCTTTTGGCTACATAATACATAACTTTTCTTTTAGCATAAAACTTTCTAGATGGAGCACAGTAAAGCTCAAAGTGTCTTCTTTCTAATGATACAGTGCCTTATTTATGTTTATATCTCACTGGGGTTAAGAAATGTTACAATTTAAAGTTAGGTATAGGTGTAAATCCCCAAAAAAGAGTGCTGGTTAACATGTCAACAATACAGTAGTGAAAGATGACTTTACTTTTGTCAGATTGTATGTTTTGTTGCACAGCTAGATGTTGGAGTCATGAAAAATAATAATAGTAAGCATTAGCCAAAACTGATTAGCTGAAGTCACTCTGAAGCGGCAGCCAACAGAGAGTTCCGCTTTATCTTAAAGCCTTTTCAATAGGTTAATTTCACAATTTATGATGGCGTAGCAGTCTAAACAGGACAAATGAGCTCATTTATGGGACAATTTCTGGGCGTTTGTCAGTGAGGGGTAGGTCTTCCAAACCGCCGGAACCTCCCCTGGTTAAAGGCCTGAATGCTGGTTGCTGGCACCTGCAATTTTGACATACGTTGACTTTCACAACAAACAAATTAAATATAGTAATCTTCAACCTAAGTTGTATGTATAAATTCAGCCCATGTACAATGTTTGAAGCCACTTTCCTTAAACTTAGTAAATCCAATGAATCACTTTTTTCATTGTAATATTTTTTGTCCTAGCTAAAGATAATAATGAGCGCCAGCAAGCATTCTTCAAAATATCTTATTTTGTGTTCAACGGTAGCAAGAAACTCTAAAAGGTTTAAAACCATACACTGTAAAAAGTGCTTTGCTATTTTAGTTGACATAACCTAAATACACAAATAAACCCATTGCCTTAAAATGATTAAGTAAATGAATTATGTGCATAAATATAGAAATTAAGTTAACTTTACCATTCTAAGTTACAACAAATTTACAAAATTTTTTAAAGTAATGTCAATAGAGTAAAAGCAATGGGTTTACTCACTTTTTGTAAGCAATTGAAAACTTCATATGCAAAAACCTCTAAGCGCTGTTTGAAAGTTCCATAGAAAAGTAGCATTATTCTCAGCCTCCTTTGTTTATGTTGAGTTATTTCACTTTATACAACACTTCTGACTGGCTGATAGCCGTGTGATATTTTGCCAGTAATCGTATAGCCTTTTAACCCTTCACCCTTGTGTATTACTCCGCCCACATACAGTGACAAGCAGAAAACAGTCTACAGTTACAAATATTGAAGCTGTTGGACAACATAATGTACTTTTGAGGCTTTTCTAGTCGAGAATGTAGTTGTTTAGATTGCAACTATGCAGTTTATTTATAAGGATAGTGCCTATTTTAAAATATTCATAATTTCTGAGAGACAGCAGTTCGGCAGCAATAGCCTGTCTTTGAGCAAAGACGATTGACGATGTTCATCCACAATTTGGCGACAGAGACCGCATAATAAGCCCTAAGAGGAAAACAGTATAATTTCAAACTACAGCTGATCAAATCATTATTAAACAGGTAAATGACTTTCTAAGTCGATCTCTCTCTTTTGTATGTTGTAGTGCTGTATTTATACCATAGTAATATTGTGATCTCCCAATTGCAACTGAGAAAAACTGGGAAATCTCTGTAAACAGATGGCATTTCCTGTCGTTCAGCCTTATAATCTTAAAATGTGAGCAGAATCACCTTTTTTGTCATCAATTTAGACATTACGCTAGAGAATCATTCAAATACTAGCTCTAAAGTGACTTTTGTGAATGAGTAACTGCTTCTGCTGTTTTGACGCCAGCTACAGATGTGAATAAATGGCAGAAGAAAGTAGTTCCTCTTACAAAATGTTTTGAGACTCTGCATGTTTAAATTTTTTTTCATACACACGATTATGCGCCGAACTGTTGTATCAATATAATCTCAAACTTGTTGCAGTGTGATGTGGTTGTATATCGTCACTGGTGAGATCATAACACACCATTCTGTCAGGCGTTGATGTTGAAGCCCCATGTAAATTGGGCATAACGCACCATTCACACGGGGCTTCAGCTACAACACTTGACATAGGGCATGTCTGAAGTAGGGGCTGATGCGATCATCATTGCAGCGTCAGCCAATGAAATTAATCAGCAATAGGCCACTGTCTAAGCTGGTGTATTTGCATACAGCGATCTGATTGGCTGACACTTCCATCGATGCTACCAACTTCTGCAGCGAGCAACGCCTCTGAAGTGGCGCCGACGGATTCACAATGCAGTTCGTCAACGCCATGACGTCACCCATTCAAAGTGAATGGGTAGCGTTGAAGCTGACACCCCGTGTGTATTCGTCTTGCAGCCTCGAGCCAACGCATGCCCCCCCACCAGTGCAGTGGCACTGCTACTCATGTGATATTGCTCATTTGAAGACCATAAAAAAAAAATGTATTCTTTGCCTTGAAAGTTAAACTATCGAACCTACACACAGGAGCCTAATAAAAATGATAATTTTTGAAGAAAATGTCAGACGGCATATAAAGGTTTTTGCATCTGAACTCTTTAATTGCTATTTTTTTTTTACAGTGTATGAGGGAATATTTTCATTTTTTTTGGGTGAACTGTCCCTTTAAGAAGCTAACTTATATAAAAAAGTAGAACTTGTAGTGGTTTAAATGCTATAATCTTTTACTATTACTGTGTTCTAGTGCTTTGTTTATGATCATATGGGCTTGTATTTGAAAATAAATCTCTATCATATTTACTTTTTTATTTTAATACAAAGGATATTATTAAGTTGTGTTGTTTTTTTATATTATTATAATCTTTTTTTTACTACAGATGATTTCAGGAAACCGTGCTCTAGTATTGCGTTTCAAATCTAGAGACAGACTCCTTCATTATAAGGACTTTCGCACAATGCAAAAGTTACATAAGACTGAAAAAGAACATAACACCTACTCACAGAGAGAGACGAGTGGTATATTTGAGCTTTTTCTCCTACTGAGAAGACTCATTATGTTATTAAGAAATGTGAACAGGTGAAATGGTGCAAGCGCTGTACATTAACAAAAGCAGAACTGCAGAGAAACCAATGTTTTCTGCACTTAACTTCGGCTCTCTTTTTTTTTTTTTTTTTTGTGGCCCATTTAGTTCCTGTTTGTCCAGTATGAATTATATGCCAAATTCAAGTGGCGCCTTGGTCATTTTCTTTTATGCAGTCCATGATATGTCCATCCAGAGAGAGGAAAAAAAAAATCTAAAAAAACATGTGGTTTTTTCATTGTGACTAGTTTGAACCGGTTTCACATGAGGTCCTGGATTATGCTTTGGCTGTAGCTTTTATAAGTGAAAAAAGGAGAAATGTGTACAGGATCCATCCAAGACCCCAACGTCAAGTTCGGTGATATGAAAAAATGAACAGACAGAAGTCGTCCTTTAACAAGCAAAGTCCTGCTGTACGGCTTGTTGTGCATTGTGATGATTTGGTAATACCGAAGTTGGATGTGCGCTGTGTGGTTGAGCCACATCATTAGCTGCCTGTTGACAAACAAATCACATCATTAATTACTAGGTGCAGTGTGTGTGTGTGTGTGTGTGTGTGTGTGTGTGTGTGTGTGTGTGTGTGTGTGTGTGTGTGTGTGTGTTTGGAATACACTTTATTTCCCCGACTCACCTTGACTTTGACTTCTTCAAACCTGACTGTAGCTATTGCTCCGGCAGTTAGCTGAGCTTTCAGGTTCTGCTCCCGCAGGTTCTTGGTTCTCTGGATCTGCTCTTGGATCAAGTTCCGTTGGTTGGTTTGTTTCTGGCTCTTCTTTGGTTTCAGGAGTTGCTTGATTTTGTTTTTGGCTACCTGTAGAGGCAATGATTAAAATGTTATGGGATGTTGTGTATTTGTTTGTTTATATATAGTTGAAGTCAGAATTATTAGCCCCCCTTTAAATAATTTTTTTTATTTTAATATTTCCAAAATGATGTTTAACAGAGCAAGGAAATTTTTACAGTATGTCTAATAATATTTTTTCTTCTGGAGAAAGTCTTATTTGTTTTATTTCGGCTAGAATAAAAGCATTTTTATTTTTATTTTTTAAACACCATTTTAAGGACAAAATTATTAGCCCCTTTAAGCTATATATTTTTTTCGATAGTCGACAAAACAAACCATCAATATACAATACCTTGCTTAATTACCCTAACCTGCCTAGTTAACCTAGTTAAGCCTTTAAATGTCACTTTAAGCTGTATAGAAGTGTCTTGAAAAAATTCTAGTAAAATATTATTTACTGTCATCATGGCAAAGATAAAATAAATTAGCTATTAGAAATGAGTTATTAAAACTATTATGTTTAAAACGTGTTGAAAAAAATCTTCTCTCCATTAAACAGAAATTGGGGGGAAAAATAAACAGGTGGGCTAGTAATTCTGACTTCAACTGTATAAATATTTTCTCAGTGAAGTGAAGGTACCTCATAGATGTAGTCGAGTATTTCCAGTATGGTAAGAATACTGGCTCCAATGAAGAGGCCCATCTGTCCACCAATGTCTCCTGAAAATAGAAACCACACTGTGATGACATCAAAATGGGCAACTAAAGCATTTCAAATCAAGTTGATCTATCATAATTACCCAACAAACACTACATTTTAATTATTTATTTTTGAGGTCAGCCATTTTTCAGAAGTTCTCCTTGCAGTTTGCCACAGAATTTCATTTTACATTCAGTTTGCTTTAAAATTACAAAAATGCTTCATATATGCACAAACCAACTCATTATTGCAAAAAAAGTAGTGATACTCAAAGTAGTGATTGTCACCCAGCAAACATATTATGCTTTGTCAATCAAAAATGACCTGAGACAGATATAAAGTGGTGTATTTTGTACATTCTTTTTGAAAAAGTGACATTTCCTTATGATAAAAAGGACATTTAAGCCCACCACCTACAGTTGCCGAAGTTCATAGTTGCCATTTTCCTTTTGTGAGTAATTTTCTGCATGTTATCAATGTTTAATTTCTTGATGACGCATGCAAACAACCATATAAAAGATTTTAAGACTTTTTCTCACATGAGGCCAACTTCCTACTCATAATTTCAGGTTGCAAAATGGATGCAAACCTTCCCAAATAAAGATAATTTTCATAATACTAAAAATTATTTTTTGTTCACAAATGTATATCAACATAATCATAAAGGTCTCAAGATTCATCCAAATAAAACAAATCTTTCAAGAGAACTCTAGTTCCCCTTCGGGGGGAACTTCAGCACTATAAGTGGATTTGATTGTAAAATCCACGCATTGGGAGGTTCGGTTCAGAAGCTACTCGTCTGAAAGAGTATTGAACGGGCCAATTAAGAATGAATTGGCAGCGCAAGCCTGCGCAGGTGAGCGGCATAAGCAATCAACTGAGTATATAAGCTCACCTGGCGCCAGCAGACGCTATCCTTTTCGCTTCAGAGACTTTCTGATCGAGTCGATGAGGGTTCCTCCTGCTGTGACCAGCGATTCTGAGCGAACGAGAGCATTTTCCCGGTCCAGAGTGTGTACACGCAGTGGCAGACGGTCGAGCTGGGTTTCTCCCTTGCCTGGCGTTCTTTGGGTCCGGTCCTCCAGAGCGGTGCGTATAAAGTTGCAAACTTCACAGAAAGAGCAACACAGTCGTGCAGCACGTCCTTATCAGGACGGCGCTCCGACTGTGCGTTTCTGGATGCGGTGGTTTCCTGTCCTCGGATGATGGGCGCGGGCAATGCGTTACATGTCTGGGGGTCCAACATGTTAATGCGCTGCTCGCGGGCAGTTCATGTCGTCATTGCGATGCCATGACTGTTGCGCAAGATCGCGGTTAGCCTTTGCAAAAGGGCGAACCACCCCAGTTGTCCCCTGCTCTGCAGCGGGCACTCGGGCAGATCTGAGGGTTTCAGCGAGAGATAATCCGTCGCCCACGGGCCCGCGGACCTCCCGCTCCTCTAAGCGCTCCATCCAAGCTTCGGGCGGGGGAAGCGATCCGTCTAACAGATGGTAGCCCTTACGCCCGATGACACCGGAGACCAGATGTCCACCACGGCATCGGAGGGTGGGCTTTTATTGTCCGATGATGATCCAGACCCGCTCGCCCCCTTCGGGCTGGTGAGCGCTGTCACTACGGATCCTGAAACGGACATGTTAGCCGTGCTTTCCCGGGCTGCTTCGGCCGTGGGTTGGAGATGGTTTATCCCCCAGCTCCGCGGCCGGACCGACTAGAGGGGCGTTCCCTTCTTCCCGGAGGTGCACAGTAGGCTCACGCGGTCTTGTAGAGCACTTTTTTCTGCTCGTGCTGCGTGTTCCTCCACCCTAACCACTCTTGACGGTGAAACAGCCAGGGGGTATGTGGCGATTCCTCAGGTTGAGTGCGCGATGGCGGTAAATCCGCGCGGCGCCTCTTCTTGGCGGGGTCCGCCTCGTCTCCCATCCAAAGCCTGTAAGTTATCTACCTCCCTCGGAGCTAGAGCTTACATAGCTGCGGGCCAGGCTGCTTCCGCCTTGCATGCGATAGCCACCTACCAGCGCTACCAAGCGCAGGCGCTGGCCGAGCTGCACGAGGGTGGGTCCAACCCAGGCTTACGAGCTTCGCACCGCCGCCGACTTAGCTCTTCGGACTACTGAGTCCGCTGCGTGTGCGTTGGGGAGGACGATGTCCACATTAGTGGTCCAGGAGCGCCACCCCTGGCTGATATGCGCAAAGTCGACAAAGTCCGCTTTCTTGACTTCCCCATATCCCCAGCCAGGTTCGGCGACACTGTCTGTGAATTCACCCAGGAATTCAAGGCGGTGAGAGAGCAGTTGGTGGGTGATGTCTTATCGGCGGTCCGTAGCCCGCTCCGCCCGCCGTGCCATTCATACCTGCTCCTCGCTGAAGGCGCCCGCCTACGAGAGCTGCTCCGCCCCCGCACACGCCTCCGGCGAAGCGAGCGCGTCGGGCACCTCGGAAGCAGGCAGCCCCCCTGCCCAGAACGCCGCTAAGTCCGGCAACGGACCGCGAAGCGCCCCTGGGACAGGCCATCTGGAGAAGAGGGAACTTGCTCTTTCCCCGCTGGAGGGCGGGGCCCCATTTCCAACGGCACTTTTTACTGCCATGAAAACATTATGAAAGGGCACTTTTCACTTCCCCAGATGTGACAGCCCGAAATCTGCCAGTCTGGGACGCTATGCTTTCTAGCTTGCAGATTCGGTGCGTTTCGCCAGTGGCTCACGAGCGCTGGGAGGACGGTCTCCTTTCTCCCACCCCTCGAGCCTCCCCTCCGGAGCTCGGGTTTGGAGTGAGAGCAAATATCTCACCTCCAGCTTTTCCGTGGGACCCGCGAGCTTCCCGGATCAGCACACCCACTCCGCGCTGCCCCACTGCTGGTACGTCAGCGATTGTAGCGATGAGTCCATTAGCGAGAGCTCTGCCTGCCTGGTTAGCGCGGGCCAGCTCTTCGCGGTGGCTCATACGCACAATCAGACTCGGCTATGCGATTCAGTTCGCGAAACGGCCCCCCAAGTCACGGGTGTGTATTCACCAGGGTCAGCCCCCTGTCCGCCCCTGTCTTGCGAGAGGAGATTGCTGTCCTCCTGGCGAAGGATGCAATCGAGCCGCTCCCTCCAGCCGAGATGGAGAGCGGGTTTTACAGCCCAAACTTCATCGTGCCCAAAAAGAGCGGTGGGTCACGGCCAGTCCTAGATCTGCGCGTTTTGAACCGCTGCCTGCACAAGCTGCCGTTCAGAATGCTCACGCAGAAGCGCATCCTCCGGTGCGTTCGTCCTCTGGGTTGGTCTGCAGCATTAGACCTGATGGACGCGTATTTCCATGTCTCCACTCTTCCTCGCCACCGACAGTTTCTGCGGTTTGCGTTTGAAGGTCGAGCTTGGCAATACAAAGCCCTCCCCTTCGGGCTCTCTCTGTCTCCGCGGGTCCTCACCAAGCCCGCGGAGGGTGCCTCAGCGCCCCTTCGGCTTGCGGGCATCTGCATACTCGATTTCTTTACGACTGGCTGATTTTTGCCCTCTCTCGGAGCAGTTGATTATGCACAGAGACAAAGTGCTCTGGCACTTCCACCTGTGGGGGTTTCAGGTCAACCGAGAAAAGAGCAAACTCGCCCCCGTGCAGAGGATCTCTTCTCTTGGGCTGGAGTTGGACTCGGTCACCATGGCAGCGCGCCTCTCCGGAGAGCGCGCTCAGCTGATGCTGTACTGTCTGAGAGAGCTCGACAGTAAAACAGTGGTCCCACTGAAACTATTTCAGAGGCTCCTGGGGCATATGGCATCCGCAGCCGCTTCATGCCGCTCGGATTATTCTATATGAGACCACTTCAACACTGGCTGATCACGATCGAGTCCCCAGACGCGCATGGCACGCGCGCGCACACCGAGTCTCTGTTACTGCGCTGTGTCGCCGCGCCCTCAGCCCTTGGAGCGACCCCTCGTTCCTACAGGCCTGGGTGTCTCTAGAACAGGCGTCCAGTCTTGTTGTCGTTTCAGCAGACGCTTCCAACACGGGCTGGGGGCTGTGCGTTGCGGGTATGCGGCTGCGGACCTGTGGAAAGGTACCCAGTTGCATTGGCATATCGCCTGGAGCTGTTGGCAGTGTTCCTCGCTCTCCACCGTTTTTTTCCGGTGCTGGAGCGGCAACACGTGCTGGTCAGGACGGACAGTACGGCGGCGGTGGCGTATATCAGCCGTTTAGGGGGTATGCGCTCTCGCCGCATGTCTCAGCTCGCCCGCCGTCTGCTCCTCTGGAGTCATCCGCGGCTGAAATCGCTGCACGCCATTCATATTCAGGCAAGCTCAACCGTGCAGCCGATGCGCTCTCACGGCAGCCTTGCGTCCTGGAGAATGGAGACTCCACCCCGAGTCTGTTCAGCTGATATGGGCGCGATTCGGGGAAGCCCAGATCGATCTGTTGCTTCCCCCGAGATCGCTCATTGCCATGTGTTCTTTCCCTGACCGAGTGCTCTCGGCACGGATGCACTGGCTTACAGCTGGCCTCGGGGCACGCGCAAATACGCGTTTCCCCCAGTGAGCCTGCTCGCGCAGTTACTGTGCAAGGTCAGGGAGGACGAGGAACAGGTTGCTGGTTGCGCCCCTCTGGCTCAACCGGACCTGGATGTCAGAGCTCTCCCTCGCGATAGCCCTCCCCTGGCAGTCCCTTCGAGAGAGCACCTACTCTCTCAGGGACAGGGCACCACCTGGCACCCTCGCCGATCTTTGAAGAGATTTTTAGACGCGAGGAAGACTTAGGTAACCTCCGATTGCGGTGGCTAATACCGTCACTCGGGCTAGAGCCCCCTCCCCGAGCGCGCCTATGCCCTGACGTGGAGTCTATTCACTGAATGGTGTGTCTCTCGCTGAGAAGACCCCCGTAATTTGCCAGATCAGCGTTGTGCTTTCTTTACGCCGAGAGAAGCTGGAGAGCAGGCTGTCGCCCTCCACACTCAAGGTTACGTGGCTGCCATCTCCGCTCTCATAACGCGGTGGCTGGCAGCACCGTGGGAACGCATAACCTCATCATCCGGTTCCTCAGGGGCGTTAAGCGAATTAATCCACCCCGCCCCCTCTTATGCCCTCTTAGGATCTCGCCCTCGCTACACAAGCCGCGTCAGATCCCTTCGATCCTCGACTCAGTATCTTTCTGTCCCTGAAGACAGCTCTGCTGGTCGCGTTGATATCGATTAGAGGGTCGGGGACCCGGAGGCATTTTTCGGTCAGTGACTCGTGCCTGTAATTGGGCTGGCTTCTCTCACGTCCTGAGACCCCGCCCGCGATATGTGCCCAAGGTTCCTACCACTCCGTTTTAATACGAGGTAGTGAGCCTGCAAGCGCTGCCCTCGGAGGAGGCAGACCCAGCCCTTCTTTATTGTCCAGTTCGCGTTTTGCGTATTATCCAGACCGCACTCAGAGTTTAGATCATCTGAGCAGCTCTTCGTCTGTTATAGCGGTCGGCAGCAGGGAAGTGCCGTACCGAAATAAGTTCCCACTAGATTGTGGATGCCTTTCTTTCACTATCAGAGCCGAGATGAGCCGCGTCCCCCGAGAGCGCGTGCGCACTCCACTCGGAGCTTCGCATCCTCTCGAGCGCGCGCACGCGGCGCCCCTCTAACAGACATCTGTAGAGCTGCGGGCTGGGTGACACCCAACACATTTGCAAGGTTTTACAATCTGCAAGTGGAGCCGGTTTCCTCAAGGGTATTAGGTAACCCTTGGTGATTGAGGAAACAATTCGGTAGGGTGTTGAAACACGCTTGCTGCGCCATTTTCCCTAACACGGAGATATGTGCGCCTTTTTATCTGTCAGTAAAGTTCCCCGTCAGGTGAGCCCTGCAGATTCCTCCGTGGCCCCCAGCACTGACTCAGCGGAGGAGTCACTTGCTGGCCCACTACGTTGTAGGTCTGCCCGCTGGTCAGCCCGCGTTTTGGGTAAAGGTGCCTGCTATGCGTGATCCCCACTAGGCGATCCCATATGCTTATTCCGCCACGGTTAAGTCCCCCCCCTGGGCGGACCCGTGTCTTCCCTCTCCGCTAACCACTCTTTTGCTATGCGTACTCCCCCTTTTTTAGGGCTAGTCCATATGTAAATTCTGCCATCTATCCCCCCTTGGGTAACAGATGGCCTCCGCAGCGTCCTCCCTATCGGGATTGCACGCTTCCCAACGTACTGTCGTATTTTCCTAGAATTATCTAGATGCTCACGACTTCCCAAAAAATATATATAAATCCGTAAAACTTCTGTTGAAGTAGGATAAATTAGGGCCAGGGACACGTTGGAGGACCGCGCCCCCCATGATGTGGGTGCGTCACGCTTGCTTGACTATCTCCTCATCGGGGGTGTTGGTAAGGTGAAGTCATTATGGCGCTTTCAATGGGCTCCCAATGCGTGGATTTTACAATCAAATCCACTTATAGTGCTGAAGTTCCCCCCGAAGGGGAACGTTCGAGGTTACTAAAGTAACCCTTCGTTCCCCGAGGAGGGGAACGGAAGCACTATACTCCGTCGCCATAATGACTGTCCCTTAGCTGTTGAAAGTCTCTTCAGCTTAAAAAGGATAGCGTCTGCTGGCGCCAGGTGAGCTTATATACTCAGTTGATTGCTTATGCCGCTCACCTGCGCAGGCTTGCGCTGCCAATTCATTCTTAATTGGCCCGTTCAATACTCTTTCAGACGAGTAGCTTCTGAACCGAACCTCCCAATGCGTGGATTTTACAATCAAATCCACTTATAGTGCTTCCGTTCCCCTCCTCGGGGAACGAAGGGTTACTTTAGTAACCTCGAACGTTTTTTGTATACTTTCTCAAATGGTGCGCAAATACCTTGCATGTACATAAATCATGAGGAATTAGGTTAATGTGTTTAGTTTACAAATTAAGGTTATTGATCTTGTTTATTGCTCTTCATTTTCATAATACCCCATCTAAACATAACTTAACCATTTAACTATCTTTACTTAAAAGTAGCCCTTTTTTGATACACAATTTGAGACACAGCAAAATCCTCAGAGTAAAATTAACATCTCCCACTGGTCCCACTCCTACAAAGAGTTAAAATAACACTGAAGCAGAGTTAAAGTGCTGAGTGAACAGATATTGAACTCCTGCTGTTAAACAGCCGAATCACTGAAAAAAACAAAAAGACAGAACTACAGCCAAATTCAGTCACAACCTTAAGTCCTGCTGTCCACACAAACGTGGGTATTGCCTAAATTGCAGGTTTTTTCACAAAAGCACGGTATCAGGTCACTGAAAGCCAAATTTTTGAAAACTCTTGTCAGTGTGTAGATTTTCAAAGCATGTTTATGTTTACAAAAATTTCTGTGTAATGCCTAAAGACCTTAATCAACTGAAAACTCAACAAATCTCTCAAAATCTCAGCTCATCAGGATCATTAAACAACTTAAACAGAATCAGCAGATTTACTTGTTACTAAGCTTATATATATATATATATACACATACACACACATTTGTTATGTGTATCCATAAATTAAAACAAGAGTTTTTCTTTGTGCTCTTTTCTCTTTAACATGTAGGATACAAAAAAAAAAAAAAGATAAATTCATGTGTATGTCACGATGCAGGTGTGTTCGGCGTCTGTTGTAGTGACTGACTGTAATGTAATGAACTATAAAAAGTAATTTAGCATTTAATTTTCATAGGACAGTTACAAACAGATGCATTAGTTTTGCAGAATTTTAAAGCATTTTAACGACTAAAATGAGTTTTATTGGATATTACGTCAATCAATTTGACTACGCATGACTTTACGGAGAGCTTGCGACCTATTTTCTACAGTTTGCCTTGTGGTACAACCTAAGTAAGAACAAATTTAGGTACAAACTAGCTAGTAGTTACTAAGCCCCTAGTGTGGACTCCAGTTTAAGAAAGATCTTACAAACAGCTGGTGCAACCCTACCAAGGTGTACAAGCTGCATCCCAACTAACCGTGATGTTTGTAGCATAGATGTTTGTAAGAATATTGCAAACCTACCTAACAAACCAGCGATGTCGTACGCTTTCTTCTGCTCAATCGTTTCATAGTTAAGGGCCTCAAAGAAAATATCCAAGATGAGAAAGTTGTCTCTGCACAATGAAAAGTTTATTCAAATGATTAATTCCCTGCAGGGACACAGTATAAGCCCATTATTAGTTACGTCAAGGAAAGAAAAGGATTAGCACCAAAACGGTTAACAACATAATAATTAGTGGAAACCACAGAATTTCATTTCGCAGCAGTCTATTAAAATTGTTTTTTTTTCTATTATTGAGCCAGTGAATGGAAGACCACAATTACATTTTTCATCCCATTATACAACTGACACAAGCGAGCCTGCAGTTTCAACAATAGCAATCCTGCTTTAGTTATTAGCAAAGGCTGAGAGAATTTGCAAAACAAGCATAAATAAATACATAAATAAAAATGCTGCGCAGGTATTCTTGCGGAAGCATGTTTAGCTTCAAATGTTTGATCTGTCTGAGGCTCTTAACGATAATGTAATAAATAACGATAAATATGTAATATGCAAATATTTTAAATATGCCAAGCAGCAGAATGAAAACTGCCCCTCAGACTGTATGCTGTGGCGCCAACCTGATTTCACCAAGTGGATCATGTTCCTGGATTAACATCTATGTTGATGCTGGAACAACATTCCAATCAGCCAATCAGAATTAAGGGATTTGTTTACAGTTTAGGCTTACGGTTAGGTTTCTGCACTTCTACTTGATTGTTATCCAACTGTTATTCTTCTCAGATTTTGGGAATAATTTACAGTTATGGGTAGTGGGTAGGGAATAGGTATGGATTACATTTTCAAACAAAAAAGATGTTCCAGGATCAACATAGATGTTAATCCATGATCGCATCATACTTGGCAAAATCAGGACATGTGTGTGTGTGTGTGTGGTCATTAGTCTTATGTTGCATTGGAATATATTTTTTGCCAGTAGATAAAAATACATTTTATACTGTAAGTTCAAGTTCATATCATGGCAATTTTTTAACTTTTTAATTTTATGGCTAATTCGTATGAAATTGTACAATCTCATTTGTACAGATTAGAATGATTTGTTCATGCCCTAATGACGGTTAAGTTCAGGAGCAGGGTTTGGTGCCACACCTTCTTTTTTAAATTGTACTTTTTCGCTTCAACTGAACTTGTATGAATTCGTACGAATTAGCCACTAAACAGACAAAATGTAAAATAGCTACGTTTCCTCGTGAGATCAGGCTGGAAATCCTGTTCCATGAATATATATTTGTACATTTTCCCCTGTAAATATATCAAAACTCAATGTTTGATTAGTAATATGCGTAGCTAAAAATATAGTTTAGTCACTTTAAAAGTATTTTCTCATGGCACGTTCACACCAGACGCGTATGAAGCATTAAGTGCGAGAGATTTACATGTTAAGTCAATGCAAAGATGCGAATAGACATTCTCTGAACTTCTGCAGACATTCGTGCTACATTAACCAATTAGGAGCTTGCTTTTTTAGGGATTTGATTATGATGTAGTTTCTGTTGTTGGTGTCCGGAAGGGAAATCCTCTTTCTGACACCAACAACAGCTCATTAAACTGGGCTGGGCTCAGTCGGAAGCACCGCTAAGAAGCTTCCATCATCCAGTTACAGTTTCTAGAGGAATTGATGAACTCAGAGAGTTGGGTGCACCTCTGAAAGGATCTAGTGGACTCAGACACGACGGCGAACAAATCTACTGTTTTTCAGCCTTCCTAGAGCACATAATAAATGTTAGCCATTTAGCAACAAAGCTACAGTCACCGAGCAAGCAGAAGCCTTGCCCATGATGCAAATCCGCATCTATTGAAGTGAATTTGATGCGCGAATGAAGCGAATAAATACAAAATCTTCATGCTTCTATTTATGTGCGAATAGCGCGATTTATTCGCATTTATCGTATTTGGTGTGAACATAGCATTAATATAAAAATTTATTTGTAATAAATTTGTAAATAAATTTGTAATAAATAAATACATTTTAATTTTCTTGTTTAAAACCAAAAAATACATACAGTAAATGAAAACAAATCTAATTAGTTTAAATATTCAGTTATGTAAAGTAAAATGAAATGTCACAGGGAAAAAGTATTGAACACATGAAAAAAGGGAGGTGTTAAAAGGCAGTGAAAGCCTAGACAGCAGCTGAAATCTCTCATTAGTTTTTCAGCAACCCTCTGCTCTCCATCACTGTATTTAGATTTTTTTTATAGCCCTCAAATTACAGAAATTCAAATATTTTATATCTTGGCCAAGCATTGTCCTATTCTAACATACCCTACATCAATAGGACGCTTATTCATTCAGCTTTTGTGTGTGATAAAAAATAGAATAAAAATATGGCTGGTTTTAAAGTCTATTTATGCATCAGACTCACCTGATGTACTCCTCTGACTTCTGGTACTTGCGAGAAAGGTAGCGAGCAGAGCCTCTGCTGGGGATTTTAACCATAGAGAGCTCTTTCCCATACCGGGTCAAATTACAGGGTGTCTCGCAGGGACATGAGTCACCTGTGCTCTTCTGGAGTGAAGCTGTGGAAATGGACAAAGAATTTTAATGAATTACACTTGGTGCTGACAAGTACTGCAAAGAATAGTGATGTGGCTATCGTCGATAATCAAGGTCTGAGTGCTGTTCAATGGTTTAAAATACACTGGGGAGTTTTAAACCCTTAATTAAGTCAAATCAATGGAGTCAATGATCACTGTTTGGGAAAACTCATCATTGTGTATTCATTATTCATCATTTATCAGGAGTGTGAAAAGTACAGAGAACTGTAATCAAAGTGAGTACAAGTATCTTCAAAAATGGTAAGAATCCAAGTATCTGCAAGCAAAACAATTAAGCTGATTTACAGGTTTTTAATGAAATACTTTTCTTTTTATATCATCCCAAAAACAAAGATTTTTCTTTCATTTTAATATTTAAAATACCAATACTTGTTTGTTTTTTTTTGTTCAGACTGTAAAATGATATGTTCAATATCTTTCTTCTGTGAAAGATTTACTTTAATTAAAAAATAAAATAGTTTTACCCCATACAGTACAATGAAAGAAAAAAAAAAGCTAGAAAATCATACAGTGGTTCAGTAAGTGATAACATCTTTTTACATTTTAGATGAACTTTATCTCTTTAAGCATGTCATGTTGATCAGTCGTCCTTTTTAAAGTATTTCACAGTGTGGGGAAATAAGTATTAAACACATTACCATTTTCTCAAAAAACAAAAAAAAAACAAAACATATTTGTAAAGGTGCTGTTGCCTGGAAATTGACACCGGATGTTGGTCACAACCAAACAAACCCAAATATGCAAACAAAACAAAACTTAATAGTTTACAAACTAAGTTATGCAAGTAAAAAAATGAAATGACAAGAAAAAAGTATTGAACACAAAAAGAAAGGGAGGTGTAGAAAGGCAGTGAAATCTCTCATTAGTTCATCAGCAACCCTCTGCCCTTCGTCATTGTAAATTAATATTATCTGTTCAGTCCAACATCTACATTACCAGGATGATGAAGATGAAACCAGAGTGAACATTTCAGCAAGATAATGATCCAAAACACAGCTAAGGAAACTCTCAATTGCTTTCAGAGAAAGAAAAAAATCAACTCTTGTGGTTGTCAGTGACAAAACACAACAGATGCGAATTCTTGGTTCCCCAGTGGGAGGAGAGCTTCAATGCTATGTGGAAACTTCCACTATGGGGGTTTTGTCAGAAGCTGAAAGAGTAATAAAACTGGACAATGAAATGCCAATGAGTGTGTGATACGCGGCGGCAGATGGTTGAGCTGGGTATTCTCCCTTGCCTGGTGGTCTCTGGGTCCGGTCATTCTAGAGTGGTATGTATAAGGACAAGTTTCCTAAAAGAGCAACACGGTTGTGTAGTGCGTCTTTTTAAAGCAGGGTAGTGCAAAGTCCTCCCTACCAGACTCTTCCTGTCTCCGCGGGTTTTCACCAACCTCACAGAGGATGCCCTAACGCCCCTTCGGCTTGCGGGCATCTGCATACTCAATCATCTCAATGATTGGCTTTTTATAACTCACTCGTGGGATCAATTGATTATACACAGGGACAGGGTGCTCTGGCACCTCGACCTGTTATGGTTTCAGGTCAAATGAGAAAAGAGCAGCCTCGCACCCTTGCTGAGCATGACCTGCTGACCTGTCTGAGAGAGTTTGACTGGAAAACTGGGTTCCCACTGATATTATTTCAGAGGCTCCTGGGGCATATGGGATCCGCAGCTGCTTTCACGCCACTCGGGTTGCTCCATATGAGATGAGCATCGGGTGACTGCCACTCCACTGTGCCCTCAGCCTCTGGACGGACCCTGCATTTCTACAGGTCTGTGTGCCTCTAGAACAAATGTCCAGGCATGTTGTCGTTTTGACGGATGCTTCCAGTTGCGCTTGGGGGCTGTGTGTTGGGGGTATGAAGCTGCAAGTCTGTGAAAGGAACCTGGTTGCATTGGTATTTTAATTGCCTAAAGCTGTTGCCAGTGTATCTTGCACTGTGCTGTCTTTTACCAGTGCTAGAGAAGAAACACGTGCTGGTCAGAATGGACAGCACAGTGATGATGGCGTATAACAACAGCACGGGGGTATATGTCTCAACTCCTCCATAGTCATGAGCGGCAAAATCCCTGCGTCCCGTTCTTCCCAGCCAAGCTCAACTGTGCAGCCGAGGTGCTCTCATGGCAGTTTCGCCTGGGAAAATGGAAACTCCACCCCTGACTGTCCAGCTGTTCTGGTAACACAGCTGGCCCCAGAGCTTGCGTAAATATGCATTTCTCCAGTGAGCCTACTTGCACAGATACTGTGTGACGTCAGAGAGAACGAGGAGCCGGTCTGTTTATTGCTCCTCTCTAGCCCAATCGGACCTGTATTTTGTTCTCTCCCCATGATGGCCCCTCCCTGGCATATCCCGTTGGAGAAGCTTTCTTCTCTGGGACAGGCACCTTTTGGCACCTGCGCCCAGGTCTCTGGAACCTCACATGTCGTCCATAAATGCAGCGCGGAGAACTTAGGTGACCTACCAATTAAGTGGCCAAACACAAGGCATGCCTCCGGCCTGAAGTGGACTCTATTCACTGTGTGCTGTACTTTTCTCCAAGAAGGACCCAGGACATACCCGATCAGTGTGATGCTATCTTCCTTCAGCTGGCTGGAGCTAAGGCTGTCCCCTCCGCTCTGAAGACACAGCGATGGCAGTGCACTGGGAAAGCATTGCCTCATCATCCAGTTCCCTGAGGCGCAAGACGTGGATTCTCTAAGTGGACACCCACTTAGAGATCTATTTTAGGAGAGGTCGGCTCGATCCACTCATTTCAGTATCTTTAAGATTTCTGTCCAGGTAGACAGCTCTGCTGTTTGCCTTGACAAATGTCAAATGGGTCAGGTATCTGGAAGCATTTTTGGTCAGCGAAATGTGCCAGCTATTTGTGTCAGCCCGCTCTCATGTTTTCCTGAAACCCTGGCCCACCTAAGTGCCCTGAGTTCTTTTTAGACTATGTAGTAAACCTGTAAGCGCTGCCCACAGAGGAGGCAGATCCAGCACCTTTTATTGCAGTGTCCTGTTCACGCATTGCACATTATGTGGACTGTCCTCAAAGCTTTAGATCCTGTGAGCAGCTCTTTATCTGTTACGGTCGTCAGCATAAGGGAAGTGCCATATTCAAATGGAGGTTGACCCACTGTACAGTGGATGCCATCTCTCTCGCTTATCAGAGCCAGTGCGAGCCGTGTCCCCCAGGAGTGAGAGTGCACTCCACTCTGAGCGTGCATGCTCTTGGGTGTTGGCATGCGCTGCCTCTCTACCAGACATTGTAAAGCTGCGGGCTGGGCGACACCTAATACATTTGCAAGATTTTATTGACCTTATTCTAAAATGCGGAAGTGCGCCTGTTTTCGCGATTGTCTTAGAACTTCCGTTTCAGTCGCCTATGGGAGAAATGACAAGGAATAATAAACGGCAAAAAACGGTCAAACTACTTGCTCTACAAACAAATGTTTGCATGACTATACAGACCAAGTAGAATAATATAACAAGGAAATATCAGTTTACAACATCAAACAGCAAAACGAGCAGTTTTTAATGTTTAAAAATAAATGGAAGTAATTGAGACCGGAAGTCTTGTGCCAAAAAGATTCAAATGGCAGCGCCCGCTCGTCTGCGGAGAATAAGGTCAATAACCTGCAAGTGGAGCTTGTTTCCTCACGTGTAATTAGAAACCTCGGTGAATGAGGAAATTTGGTTTGGTGTTGTAAAACGCTTGCTGTGACTTTCTCTCTAACACAGAGAGCTTTCTCGCTTTGTTGAGTTGAGTTGCCCGCTTGGCGAACCCTGCGGAGTTCCTCCGAGGCCCACAGCATCTGATTCAGAGGAGGAGTCATGTGCTTGGCTCGTTATGTTGTTTGGGATGCCCGCTGGTCAGCACGCGTTCTGGGTATAGGTGCCTGCTATATGCGATCCCAGCTGGCAATCCCATATGCTTCACTTAACCACAGTTTAGTCCCCCCTCTTAGGTGGGCTCGTGTCTTCCCTTCCCGCTAAACATCCTTCATGTGTTCTCCCCCTTCTCAGGGCTAGTTAATGTGTCTTCTTGCTACCAATTCTCCCCTTCTGGGCAGCAGGTGGCCTCCGCAGTGTGCACCCTATTGGTACTGCATGCTTTCCCAATGTACTGTCGTATCTTAAATTCCCAGAATTATCTAGGATTAAGTGCATGTTTACGTCTCCCCGAAAAAAATTCTAAACCTGTAAAGTTTCTCAAATAAGTGAGGTAAGTTAGGGTTAGCGGGCACGTTGAAAGGCTGAGCCTCCGGTGATGTGGGTGCACACATGCTGTAACCTGGCAAACCTCTCACCAGTGACGTGGAAAGGTTTAATCACTGTGGCGTTTTCTATACATTTCCCTATAGTGGAAGTTTCCACATAGCATTGTAGTTCCCATCTCACTGGGGAATGAAATTGTTACTGAAGGGACCCTCATTCCCTGGGGGTGGGGACGGAAATGCTATGTTCCTCCGCCACAGCGATTGCCCCGTAGCTGTTAACTGTAAAAGGCTCTTTGGCTAGAAAAGGGGAATCAGTGATGCACAGGAAGCATCTTTATACAAGATATTGATTGTCATTGCTGTCAGCTGTGCACGCTGACCCTGCCGACTCATTGGCATTTCATTGGCACGTATTATTACTCCTTCAGATGATTGGCTTCTGACAAAATCCCATAGTGGAAGTTTCCACATAGCATTTCCGTTCTCCCTTCCTCTGGGAATGAGGGTTACTTCAATAACCGTTTCGTTCTCCATTTTCTAATTTTCTAAAGCAGAGCTAAAAAAATCTGCTGTATTTTCTTGTATATGATTGTTTTTGTAATTTATCAAATTTCATCTTGTGATGACCTTCATGTTGAGTGTTGTTATTAAAACTTGTTTACTAATAAGTTGGGATGTCCTAAGAGAGCTTGAATAAAGTATCAAATCTGTGTTCTCTGACTGCTTGTTTGACACGTTGACCGACAGCTGATTAAGGGCTCTTATGTTATAACAAAACAACATTCCTCTGATGATTTTCTGCAGTGTGACCAATAAGACTCTGAACCTGACCACTACAGATTATTTATCATTGCTTTCAGTTCAGAAGTGCTCATCGCTATGCCCTAATCCCTTTGGAGGGTCACTCTGAAGGGATTAGAGCATAGGGATGAGCCCTTCCAAATGGAATGCAGTTGGTAACACCAAACAACTTTCCCTCTCAGTACATCATGGCTCAAAATGTCTATTCGTTTTATCCTTTGAAATCCAAAGAGCCCTTCAAAGTGGCCGGTTTAGAGCACTTTGGTTTGGATTGACAGTTCAAAATGGCAGCCATGATTGTTTTTAAAGTGATATATATCCCATTTAGAATGCACTCCATGTTTGCTGTTTAGTAAAGGTAAGTTACTGAACGTGTCATGGATTGATTATGTTAAACTGTCTTGCATGTCCATGTTTAGCACGTCATGTTTGCCTTTCAGTCTGACATTATGAAAATTAGGATTTTACAGTGTGACATGGGGATCATGTTTGTGCAGTCTGTAAAGCTACAATCGGAAAGGATTATTCAAAATTGTGCAGAGTGTGAGTCGCGTTTAAGGTGTGTCTGTGATGATCTTACCCAAAGCCTTGTCAACACACTTGATTTTACTGGGTGCACAGATATCAGCATCACCTGTGAAGAGATATTTAAAAAATGTATCCATTAAACCAAAAAAGGGGGTTTATCTCACGGTAATATGTAACTTTCTAATTTAGTGGCTAATTCTTATTAGTTTGCATGATCTCATTTGTATATTTCAATATGATCTGCTCATCCCTTAATGTTTGCTTGATATATTTCCTCGTGAGATTGGTCTGTGCATTCACACAACGTAGTTTTCATAGATTTAAAAAAAAAAAAAAAACTCTTTTGTGACTTCTGTGTTAGTGTGTGTTCACAGTTGTAGTTTGGTTTGTTTGTTTTGGACAAAAAAGTTTGCACTTATTAGCACAGCAAATTCCACAGTGCTAAACAAACACTGCTCAGTTTTGTGTTGGTCTGAATAAATTACAGTAGGTTTAACATAGAATTTTTTCTGGTCCACACTAACTGAATTAAGAGAGACCAACTAAAAACACTCTTAGGATGCTCAGTTCCACCTTACTTTCTTGACAGTGAAACATGCAATGTTGCGATGCGTCATCCAATCTGTCAGCAGCAATAAGAGCAGTTGTGAGGTGGCCTGACAATGGTAAAGTCTAGAGGGGATGCAGCTGCGGCTGGAAGTTAATGAGAAGTATTTATATTGATAGAATTACTGTAAAAGAATAATTACTGTTTTTACATTACTGTAAGGGGTAGGTTGAGGGGTTGGGTAGGGGTAGACGTTAATAAAATCCATATTAATGGGTAATTAAAAAAAATAATAGACATAATTCTCTTTATAACTACTGTTTTTACAGTAGTGTGAAGGGTAGGTTTAAGGAAGCGGTATACATTAATAAAATATAATAAATGGGTAATGTAATTATTAATATACACAATTCTCTTAGTAATTACTGTTTTTACATTACTGTAAGGGGTATGTTGAGGGGCAGGGTAGGGTTAGACATCAATAAAATACAATTAATGGGTAATTTAATTAATAATATACACAATTCTCATTATAATTACTGTTTTACATTACTGTAAGGAGTAGAATTAGCGCTAGGGTAGGGGTAAATGTTGATAAAACACAATTAATGAATAATTAAATTAATAATATACGTAATTCTCTTTATAATTACTGCTTTTACAGTACTGTGAGGGTCGGTTTAGGGTTGGGATAGGGAGTAGATGTTAATAAAATACAATTTATGGGTAATTTAATTGATAATATATATAATTCTCTTCATAATTACTGCTTTTACATTACTACAAGAGGTAGGATTGGGGTTAGTATTGGGGTAGATGTTAATAAAATACAATTAATGGGTAATTTAATAAATAATGTCCGTAATTCTCTTCATACTTACAGTTTTTACATTACTGTGAGGGGTAGAATTAGAGTTAGGGGTAGGGGTAGATGTTAAAATATAATTAATGGGTTATTTAATTAATAATATACCTAATTCTCATTATAATTCTTACTCTTTTTACATTACTGTAAGGGGTACATTTAGGGTTGGGCTAGGGATGGACACTGTTAATGATTGTTGTAAATTACATAGTACTTAACTGTAAAGATATACACATACAATTCTGTAAATATAAATGAACAGCAAAATAATTAGTGCTGTATATGTAAATACAGTAGTTTTGCTCTGTTTGATTTACAGTAAGTTACTGGCAAACAGGAAATTGTTAACAGTGCATTTATAAAATACAATTAATTGGTAATTTTATGAATAATAAAAATAATTATCTTTATAATTTTTACATTAGAGTGAGGGGTAAGAAAAATACATTAATAAAATACAATTAATAGGTCATTTAATAAATAATATAAAAATAATTTATTTTAACTTCCGGCCTCGGCTGTAACCCCTCAAGTAACAACGACACATTTGTTCTCACTGATACGGACAGTTTTTTTTATTATTATGACAGCTCTCATACTACAGCTCGCACCTGGCATATGCACCATCCTGCAGTTGCACTCTCTCTGCACCTGTGTGCTCTCACAGTGCAGTCTGCAGGCGCTGACGCTGTAGGTGTCGTATCCTGGGATCACAGGCTCGGATGAAGCCCGACAGTTTCCCCACGGCTGTGGCAGGTATGTTAGCTATAAAAACAGGAGACATTTAGAGAAAGAAAAACCGGCGTCTCTCTGCTTCTTTGTCTGCCTGAGTGCACCCTATGGCCGTGAAATAGCACATGCAGTCTCAATTAGAAAATATTCCAGTCAGCCTTGAAATCTGTTTGACATTTTGTAAATTAGCTCCTAATTTTAAATGTCTGAAATTCGAGAGTTGAGAACAGCCCGGTGTTAAATTCAGATGTATAACAGCTTGGTGTTGAATTCAGATGCATAACAGCCTTTCTGCCATGCAAAAAGCAATGAGTTTAAACTTACCCTCTGTTCCTGGCAGGAAACAAATGTTTGGAATCCTGGTGAGACTCCAAAGCCCAGCTGGTGGATGTACGGGGGTTCATTCTGACTGTGTATCTGAACCCGAATACCTGCTTCCAGCGTAGTCTCGTCTGAAGATGGACAGATCATACTGTGTAAGTAAAACTAACAGCTTGCACAAGTAATTCAATATTCTATGTAACAAATATCAATTAAAGTTTTTAGTAATTTTTTTAATTTCGTTTTAGATTTGTATTCAAATGTTTGGGGTCAGTTTGATTGTACTTCAAAAAAAAAAAAAAAGAAGATTTTATTCAGCAACAACATGATAAAAACCAAATGTGACAGTAAATTAATTTATATCATCACTAAAAATTCAATTTGAAATAAATGTTGAAATAAAATGATGTCACTGGTTTCAAATTTTTAGCAACAAAGTTATACATCCATTGAAATGAATTATTAATTATATCTCATTAATTTTATTTTATTAATTTAATTAAATTTATTTTAAAATCTATTATTTAGGAATTAGGGTTAGGGTTGCATGTTTTCCCCGTTTTCGGTGGGTTTCTTCCGGGTGCTCTGGTTTCCCCCACAAGTCCAAAGACATGTGTTATACTGTAGGCGAACTGGGTAAGCTAAATTGTCCGTAGTGTATGAGTGTGTGGATGAGTGTGTATGGATGTTTCCCAGTGATGGGTTGCAGCTGGAAGGATATCCGCTGCGTAAAACATATGCTGGGTAAGTTGGCGGCGACCCCTGATTAATAAAGGGACTAAGCCAGAAAGAAAATTAATAAATAAATATAATATTTATTTGTTTTATTTATTTATTTTTTATTTTTTTATTAATTAATTAATTTAATTTTATTTTAGTTTTACAGCCAGTTTTATTACTTTTTTTTAAAACTGTATTTATAGTTTGGTTCAAACCTTACATTTTGATCTAATGTTAATTAAAAAAGTACTTTCACAAAGAAAAAAGCAATCATGAAACAACGGCGACATCAAAAATGCATGTTATTAGTTCTATTTGCATTAAATAAACACAGCAGTTAACGCAGACAACTTGTTTATGTAAATTCAACATCAGCAAAAAGAAAAGTCATTCTAACTTGACCAAATTAGGTAGTTTCAAAGTGATTTTATTTGGTTTAGTTCACTCAAATCAAGGTAATTCATTGTGATGAATGTATTGTGCACATCAAAAAACACAACACAAACTGATAAAACGTTGGAAAAGCAAAATTATATGTTAATAAATTGAACCAATATTTTTTTGCATGAGTTTAGACTTAATTAAGTCTGCAAAAATATACTTTGAAAACTTTACATCAAAAAGGCTCTTGCTGCTTATTCAAACTACTTATTTAAAATGAGTTGAAACAACACAATTCTTAACTTTTGTGTTCAATCAACTTAAATTTGTAAAAATTATTAAGCTAACCTAATTGATTTTGCAGTGTTCAGAATGACTAATGTTGACTAAACTGTACTTGAAAATAAAATTCAACCAAAGAAAAAAGAAAATAAAAACATTTTGTAATTATATTATAAAGACCTGAATTGTGTGAACATAAAACTAATTTGTAGAGCCAGATACTTAATAACAATAAACTGCTTAAATATTTTACAGTGTACTAAACTGTTAACAAACAGTTGCACGTGTTAAATACCAGGTCATTCATTTTCCTTTGGCTTAATCTCTTATTTATGAGGGGTTACCACAGTGGAATGAACCGCTAACTATTCAGGCATATGTTTTTACACAGCAGATGCCCTTCTCGCCGCAACCCAGTACTGGGAAACACTCATAAACTCTCGCATTCACACACTCATACACTATGGACAGTTTAGTTAATCCAATTCACCTATGTGGCATGTCTTTGGACTTGTGGGGGAAACCGGAGCACCCGGAGGCAACCCACACAAACACGGGGAGAACATGCACTCCACACACAAATGCCAACTGGCCGACCAAGACACAAACAAGCAACCTTCTTGCTGGGAGGTGACAGTGCTACACACTGAGCCACCGTGCCGCCCTCACTTAAAGTGAAGCAGCAAAAACTAAAAATCGTACCCACCCTAACATTTTGATCTCGTGTTTTGAAAATGATATTATACAAAGCAATCAAGCTTGCAAAAGTAAAATAATGAAATATTTCAAGGTCATTTGCGTTTGAATCAATATCTGAGATGCAAAATAGTGTCAGTTCCACTAGTCACTCACTGGTTTCTCTCCAGATAGGCAGATACTCGTCCTGCTGAATATCCAGCATCATCTCCAGGCCGTTTCCTGTGCCACCTTGCCTTACACGCTTGGGTGACGTCTTGTTTCCATTAAATGTGTAACATTTCCCATACCGTGTGTAAACCTGCAGACCAATCACAAGCATGCATTAGACATATTTGCACTGCTGAAAACACCTGCATTTCACAGCCTAGTCCTCACACACACACATAAAGATCTTCATACAAAGGTGTTAGCGAAACTCACTTCACTCCTCTCAGACTTCCTAACCATACCAGCACCTTATGATGTATCCATTATCGAAACAGCACATCTTTTTCTTATTTTGATTCCCTGTCTTGCTGTCACCAGGTAAGACTTGCTTACACATTAAATTGAATAACAGAGGGTTCATTACTTCTGAAAGTGACATTTCTGTTTCATAATCCCCCCCCCCCCCCTTTAAATTTGAAAACTTTCTCATTCACATTGAAACTCTAAAAAATAAAAAGACTAATATATTTGTACTGAACCTAAAAAATGGATGAAAGCATACTGAGATGATGTGAGGTATCAGTTGCTATTTAAAAGTCCCATAAAATTAAAGTAACGCTTTTTAGGTGTTAGCATCAGTTTTGTTCGTTTTCAAGATATCTGTAAGCTATTGCGCTCCAAAACAATGAAAAAATTTGTGTTTAGAAAATATAAAACTGATATAAACATGTGAAGCTTGTAGTTTGTCACTTCCGCCTAAATGGATCAACGGTTTAATTCACGTTACCTCATACTTCAGTTTCTCATCAAATCTTGAACAATCAAATGTTCTCTAGTCTTTGACATGCTCCGCCCCCTTCAAAATGCTTCTCATTTGCTTTTCATTTGATGAGCTTGAGTTCAACCACTCTCACTGGCAAAGCGGTGATAAAACAAAACAATATTGGCTGTTTTTTTTAAAAAAAGAAGGGTGGGGTGGATGGGGGCTACTCTATGTCCCATCCTCTCATCATGTTTCGGTTGAGACTATGTCAAACATTGAATAAAAATGCATAGTTCAATGCACTTCACAGGTCACATTTGGTGATAGTATTTTTTGAAAATTTATAAATTTCCATTAAACGTGTTTTCAATTTGCAGTTTCAGTTTGTGCAACTTGAAGGGTAATTGAAACATATATATAATTATCAATTATATTAATTTGGTTGATTGATTGATTGATTGATTGATTGATTTTATTTGACAATTTTTGCAAAAAAAAAAATACAAACAAGTCCAGTTAGACTAAAGCCTGGTTTATATTTCTTTGTCAAGTGACCCACGGCGCATGCAACGCGCGTAGCTGTGCATTTATACTTCTGCGCGCTGTCTCTGTTGGTCTGCATTAACACTTTCGAAACGCTAGTTGGCAGTGAGGTGTAAATGTTCCTCTGTGTCGAGTTTCTTCGCTGCTTTTTTGCTTTTCCTGAACACTTCCGGGATGTACAAGTGGCTCAAACTCGCTTATTTTGAGGCAGGAACCGGCGGAGTGCAGCAACTTTAACTATGAGGTAAACACAAAACAAAACTTTCCATCTGGAGCTCCTTCACGGGACTTCACACTTGTAAACAATCGCTCCATCAAGCTCGCACCATTCACGCGGCTCTCTGTCCCGCCCACACTCGTCAGCGCTACCAAGCTGACCAATCACAGAGCTTGCGCTACACGTCGTTGTGACGTGTAGTTACATTTTTTGAGAGGTGCATGTCAGCGATGCCGATGGCATACGCCGACGTTTGACGCAGAAGTATAAATCATCCTTAATTCATACATATTTTAAAAACTGCAGAGGATGAAATACACAAAAAGGCACAGGCTTATTTCCATTGTGCTCCTCGATATTCTTAAAAAATAAACGAGCATGTCATAAATGGAATGAAAACCATCAGCTCAGCAACTCGGCACAACAAAATCCTCAACTTCAATTGTAATACTGTAAAACAACCACTTTTTAATTTCTCTTCTAAAAACACTCAAATTGAATCACTTTAAAAATCGTAGGCAAAACATTCCAAGCAACAGTGCTTGTACACAAAAAAGAAATTCTACCTGATTTATTCTTAAACCTATAAGGATAAATATCCCTTCTACGCGCTCTTGTAGAATGACAGTGTACCTCACTTACTAAAGCATAATAATTAAGAAAATATTTTGGGACCATTTTCTTTAAATTCTTAAACACCGTCACTAATTTCATAAATGTTACCCCTTTATTTAACTTTTAAAAAATTACTTTGACTAATGTTCATTATTTAAATGTGTCAGTAGAGGTACTTTCATGACTTATTTTAGGCCGTTTGCAATTTATTTTTAATTTTTTTTTTTTTAGAACTACCGCTGTACCAAAAAGCTGTAGCATAGTCAAAGTATGGCTGCACTAATGCACTAGCTTATTATAGTTTGGGTATCTAGGAGCTCTGCCTGTCCTGCTAAAAACTTAATTTTAGAACAGATTTTTGAATGGACTATTACAGCCATCTTCTCGCCTGTCAAAATACTATCTAAAATGCATCCTAAATATTTAACACCATGTTTTGGTGTATTAATTTGATGCCCTTTTACCTCTGACCTGACACAGTTTCTTAGTTTCGCAGCTGAACCAAATAATATAAATTCAGTTTTACCCAATAAGGACAATTTATCAAGGCAAAACCATTTAGAAACTTCCTCAATATGTTTACTCATTTCATTTTCAATAAATTCCTTCCTCTCATGAGACACAATTATTGCTGCATCATCCGCATATCACAAAAGCTTTTTTGAACAAGCCATTTTCAAATCATTTATGTATATCAAAAAAAGCAATGGACCTAAAACATTGCCTTGTGGCAACCTCATAAGTGACGGGCGAATAAAACAAAGGTTGCAGGACTGGATGAATAATCAACATAAAAACGCAAATGCAACCTGCAATTGTCATGCACATCTTGTCAGTGAAACATGGTTGTGTTTATTCATTAGTTTTCATTCAGCTTAGTCCCTTATTTATCAGGGGTTGTGAACGCAGAATGAAATGTCAACTTTTCCGACATATATTTTATGCAGCAGATGCTCTTCCAGCCCCAACCCAGTATTGGGAAACACCCATACACTCTCAAATTCACTCTCACAAATGCACTCATACAATATGGCCAATTTTGTTCATTCAGTTCACCTACATGTGTCTTTGGAGCAACCGAAGCATGCAAATATGGGGAGAACATGCAAACCAACCAGGATTTGAACCAGCTAACCACTGAGCCACCGTGCTGCCACAAGGTTGTGTTTAGTTAATTTTAGAAACTTTAAATATGAAGTAACTCTGGAAATTATCTTCGTAATTTGTGACACACATGATCTGACAACAACTTGTTCGCCAACAGCTCAGTCAAGCTACCAAACCACAGCCAATGAAATTTTGAGGGAGGAGTCATCAGAAAAAGCTGAACACTATTGGCTGCTTGTGTACTGATTACATCACTGACAGCGTTTCAACCTTTCAAGGGAGCATTTAAAAACATTGTCAATCACTTGAGTGGATTAATCGCTCATCTTTAAGGTTCAAGTGGATATTTTACATTTTTGTAATTTAATAACTCTTAGAAATAAAAGTAGCATCTATAACACCCTGACGTTTTCTAAATACCTGTGTATTTTTTTCTAACATTGTTAATTTTTTTAATGACAAACCAATAAAGAACTGAGCATTTCTACCTTTAATTGCTATATTGGTCAAAATGACTGCATGCATGTCTGCTACTTTTCGCTGTGACTTTAAATATGCATGCATTTTTTGCCTAGCAACTTTCTGCTAACATAAACAAAGCTTTCTGATAGCAAAAACATTAAATTTACTTCAGATGTATATTTCAAAACATATTCTGTGCCATAAAATAGCTCCTGTTTAAAAGTAAAAATGCAAGCGAGGCCCAGACCTTTGCATGTTCTAGTATCTTAACTACGAATTTATTTGCTGTATAGACGTTTCTGTTGAGCTTTTGAGCACACGGCCATTCTTGGCTGCAGCTCGTCACTACATCTGACCGCACGTGTGGTCAAGTCGGCTGACTGCTCTGGAATATTCAGCCTGCTAGATATTGGATTTACTGTACATATGAGAGGTTTCAGTGACGCATCAGCGAGCTTCTGTGATGCGTTGTTCAGTAGTTCCAGCCTGATCTCACAAGGAAACGTAAGTATTTTACGTTTGGTCAGTTTAATGGCTTATTCAGAGTTCAGTTGTATGAAAATGTACGATTTTAAAAGGCGTGGCACCTAACCCCATGCCTAACCCCAACTGTCATAGGGTGATATGCAAATCATACTAGATTGTACAAATTCATACGAAAAAGCCACTAAATCAAAAAGTTACAATAGCAGACTGCCGAGCGCTGAGCATCCGGAGATTTTTCCCAGATCACATCCTGATCGGTCGGCGAGCTTGTTAACTTCCAAATCAGGTTCAAATCAGGCTTAAAATCCTGTAGTGTAAACTAGGGTTTAGAAAACATGTGCTAGAGGTTTTGGACACAAATCAAGGGGTAGGATGTTAGGGCACAGCCGCAGCTCTGCACAAGTTAGTTCCAACCCTAATTAAACACACCTGAATGAACTTTGAGTCCTTTAGGCTTGCTTGAAACCTACGGTTAAGTGTGTTGAAGCAGGATTGTTACTAAACTGTGCAGGGCTGCACAGTTTGAAAAAGGCAAAGAGGTAGAATTGGGATAATGGCTAACTATACTTGTCATAAAGAGTTTACAATAAAATATTGAAATGTTTATCTGCCTCCTACGTCTTTGAAAAAACACCTTTGAATAATAGCCCCACCTTCAAAAACTCAACTTTTGCAAGAGAGAAACATCTTACGAATGGCCAAATGTCGAGAAAGGACGTTCAAATGTATGTGGTAATTGGTGTAGATGTAGCTTGAGGTTCTCCGACAGGGAACTGCAAATGACTGCCTCAGATTCAGATCTTGCAGAAGAGCTTTGAAGCAAAGCCCAAAGGAAACTCTTAAGCACCTTTTACTCCCAGCTCAAGCCTCCACCTACGCCTTCCTCTCTTTCTCTCTCCTGATGACAAAAATAATATTGTGAACTTTCAAGTACTCCCACATCACACTGCTACTCTAC